TGCTTTTACAGCCATCTAGTGGAAGCATAGAATGAGTGTTTTCATTTACTTAACTCAACATTTGGCGATCAACAAGGCACGTCTCTCTTCGACTATATACAGGCTTCTCTTATGTTACATGAATAATTTGAGAATAATAGCCATAAATACACAAGAATAATTACAGAAAAATTAAGAATTTGGGAATAGAATAATAGGAATTTTTTGGGGAATAATCCCCTCAGGCCTAATTACTAGGTGGTAGGTAATAAAACAAACAATGAATATTATTATCTACAACAATTGATGGGGGGGGCCGGCCCCTGTAGGCCCCCCTCAGATACGCCCCTGTCAGCCTCACCACATCAAAGGTACTGGCAACAAAGTTGCTCAGTGTATGTTGGGCTTTAAGAATAGAAAAATCTGCTGATTAGCTCTTGGTCAAAGTAACCATGAACATTGCTGGCAATGGGTCCCAATGACTGTAGGCTGGGGAATGGTCTGTGTAGAAACAGCAAATGCACATAAAGTAGACTATACTTACCTGCTGTGTCATCTGTAGCTACAAGTGACACAGCAAATGATGAAGAAACAGTTCCAGTGATTGTAAGACAAACTTCAGCAGTAGTTCCTTCAGGGATACTCACTGTAGAAGAAGACTCAAAACTGACAGATGGCGCAATTGCAACTAATAGAACCAATAGAGACATAATGTAGCTCCTATATTAGTATTATAACTAACCAGCTGCAGTGAGGTGAAGGAGCTGCAAGACTATACACAAATACAGGAATGCTGTCATTTTGAGAGAGAGAAAAAGAAACTGCAGCTGAAAATCTCCTCTTAAATCCTATAAACTCAGCACAGTAAAACACTTCAATTCTATATAGCAGCTACACGACTACTATTATACTATACAGTGGATCTGATTAAAGCATGTTGTGATTAGCATTTTAACACTTGAGAGTTGGCAAAACATCAATTATAATGTTTGTGGCAGAATATTTCATTAGTAGTAGATTTGACTTAAGTGCCATACTTAGGTCTAGAAATGGCAATAGATTCTTCTAGTGTTCTCTGAGATGAGTTGGCTGATGCAGCCAGAAACACTGCTGTTAGTGCCTTTCTCTAACCTTTAAGACTCTGATGTACATTTAAGCATACCCTAAAAGCTCACACTAATCAAATATTGTAGTTTTTGCATAATAATTAATTTTAATAATTACTGTTTCAGATCCAAAGTGTCTACTTATCTTTTTAGCATTATAATAAGACTTGGTGAGAAAGAAATAAATGAAAAAAATCACTCAAAAAATAATGTCAAAAATGATTAAATGATAAATATAAATAAGAACTGGATGCATGATTGTTTCTTATAAACTGGTTCAATTCATTTACTCAGAGTCAAATCTCTTGTAGTATCTTCTTTGCCACTTTCTGTTGCCAATTCTTACTCAGCAGTAGTTCCTTGAGTGATCATGTACTCACAGTAGAAGAAGACTCAAAACTGACAAGTGGAACAATTTGAGGCATACCAACTACCGGCATAAACATAATTGCTATATTAAAAAGAGCTGCAAGACTATGCACAAATACAGGAATGTTGTCATTATGAGAGAAACAGTTTTAAAATCTCCTGATAAATCACTAAGCTATACACACATACTTTCAGTCAAGCATCATACTTATAATACTACGAATGTACATGTACATTTAAGAATACCCTAAAAGCTCACGCCAATCAAGATTATTGTAGTTCTTAAAAATAATTAATTTCAATAATTACTGTTTCAAATCCAAAGAAAGTGTCCACTTTATATTTGTTGAGAGAACTACACCTTATGATAACTTCTACTGTATGTGTGTGTGTGGAATTACTACATGTAGTCATGATCATTATCATTAATGAACTGATAAAATAAAATTAATATTGTGAATCAGAGAGAGAACAGAGTATACTTGGGAAGAAAGAAATAAATGAGAAAAAATCACTCAAAAAAATAAAAGCAAAAAACGATAAATGATAAATATAAATAAGAACTGGATGCATGATTGTTTCTTATAAACTGGTTCAATTCATTTACTCAGAGTCAGATCTCTTGTAGTCATCTTCCTTGCCACTTTCTGTTGCCAATTCTTCCTCCAGTTTCATGATCATACCACCTAGTGCTCCAAAGTATCCTTCATGTCTAAGGAAGAGTGCTCTTATGCTACCCTGTGACCAATACTCCATTGCATATGAGAGCATTTGAGTAGAAAGAACATTATCACACAAATAGTTACCAACAAACACTACACGCTCTATACCCTGGAAATGAGAAATGAAAAACTTGATACACAATATTTGCTTCATTGATTAGTGGATGTTTTGATGGAATACCACTACATGTACATACAATACATGTACATGTAGGTATAGGGTCTTTGGCATGATTTACGAGTAACTTTAAAAATTCATAAAAAATCTCATTTCGATCGGAACGAGCTCAAAGTTGAAACATAACATAAGAACATGTACGTGAACCAGATACTATTAATTATAATGTATGAATACATATTCCTCCTAACACTTACCACTATTGATGCACACATTCTAGCAATGGCTCCAATGTTATTGGTGACTGTCACAAGTGAAGCACGAGCAAGATCAGCTGGGCTAGCCTCGTCCCTACGATCTTTATGCATCATGTGACCAAAGCTGAAACATATAAATAATACATTTAACCACTTGAGGGGGTCAGTAATGTTCTCTCTCTCACCTTGAAGCTACCACGTTTCCAGAGAGACCAAGCTTGTGGTAGTCGCCTCCATAAATATCTCTCACCATCTTGTCTACTTTGGTGTGATCTCCTTTCTCTGCTAGTGTGATGGCGTCTTGAAAGTTATCACAGCCAGTCAGTAAAGAACATAACCCAAGGAAGGTACCACCTCCTACACTGGTCCCTAGGGATTAATATGTACAATGTACATGCAGTAAAATTTTACTAGATAATCTAAGAAGTGAAGCAAAAATACTGTACAGTGACACTAAATTGTGCAATTGCACTGGATTTAGCTATTAAACAATTGTTTTATACTTGAAAATTTTAGCATGGACACTACAGTCTAAACCCACTATACAATATACAGTACATGTACATGTACATGCATGTACATGTACATACCTCCAATACGTTTAAATTGTGAGGGACCAGTGACATGTAATATACTGACTCCCGATCCAATATTAACAATAATGAATGGATAGATCCCAGGATCAAATTTAAATACTTTCTTTCTCGCCAGGTCGGGTTTTTTAGGGTTCTCCCAGTAGTAGCACTCGTCGGGTAAGTGTCGACAGAAATACTGAACTCCTCGTACCAAGGTTTCCATCTCATCGTACTTGTGTAATGCTATACCTAATCTCTGTGTAAAGAAATAATGGATGATTATTTGTGCAAACATTACAGTGAAACTGAAATAAATGTACGTGTACATGTACATGTATTTTAACAGTCACAACATAAGTATTGATACATGTACATGTACATGACTGTGCTACTGATACTGTGCTACTGATACTGGTATCAATGTACATGTACATGTACATGTATGCGTGTTACATTACATGTATTTCATGATGATAATAAGTTTGAAATGATCTTACTTCTTGAAAGTCGTCTTCAAATTTAAAAGCCCCGCCTCCAGTGGCACAGACTACTTTTGAAAAGTCATTGAGGTTATATTCTCGGACCATGTTCATGAATCCTGACATCCGTGAGGTGGCAAACTTTATGAAATGGAGTGTACCTTTTCGACCACCAAACTCTTGAGAAGGCATCTCTAAATGATCATCACGTACCCCTTTAGGAGAAAAAGGGAGATGAAGAAAGCAAGGTGAGAGATAGAAAAAAGAGTAAAGAATTTATTAAGAAGGCACAAAACATCATTAATTTTCCTTATAAAGTACATACAACATCACTACATGTTGATCCTCTATCATGTCCACACATGTTAAGGCGTGTTTACAATATGACATTAGGCCTGTGTACTGTCAATTTTTAATCAAAAGAGTGGGCGATTTAACATTTTGACATAATTATGTTTTCCACTAGAATAGAGCCAAATCCTATTCCAGCATCATGCAATGTAATATTGTAAACCAGCCTTTAGACTTCACCACTGCAATACATTAGCTTCACTCTAATCATCTTAGCAGGAGTGACCCATATACCAATAGAACCCATACAAGCTACTACCATACACTATAGACACCACAACTTGCTAAAAAGATACTTCCCATAATACTTTCTAGTCCTTACCTGAAGACCCGTACGTTCGATTAGACTTTAAAAACTCTCTCATTTCTGCTATACCGAGTGATTCCTCTTGGCTGGATCCATTGGCGACAGGACACTCGAAATAAACACATTTAACTAGCGAGCCACCAATATCAACACCAAACCATTGGCTATCTGAAATAGAATAAAGAAATGAAATTATGAAGGGCTTCTATAGTAATAATACACTCTATATTATGGACTCTTTGTACAAAAAAGTTGCTCTGATATACAGAGGTGTCCTTTATGTGGAGGTTATTTTATACAGTAAGGAATGTAATTGGTACACTAGGTGCTGTCCGTTAAACTGAGGGTCATGTACATGTATAGTGTTTTTATGCTATAGAGCGTCCGTTAAAGAAGGCTACACTATAATGGGCAAACTTACATGTATACTAGTGGTAGCCTGAGAAGTACATACACGTACACATGGAATCATTATAGTTTTAAGTGCTGTCATTATGCAAGCAAATTTGCCATAAATATTATAATTTAAAATTTAAATTATACATGTAGGACAATAAGATTGCTTGATACGTGCACAACCGTAATTTCATTTTATAAATAATTTGCACTTTTGCATCATTCAAAGACACAACAGCTGCTGAAAAGTGCAAACGAGCAAATTAAAAAATCACATGATGACTTTTAATTCAAATGATCAACAAAATGGACCCAAAATAAAAACAAAAAAATACCCTGCAGCTGCAGCAGAATAAATACAGAAAATATACTAAAATTACCTAAATGCACCCGAGTAAAAGGCAGTCCTGTCACTGCTGTAGAACAAGATGAAGAATAAAGAGACTCTGAAGAAGAGCTGAGGGAGGAAGGACGGTCAGATATTGGGCTTTCGGCAAATAGTTCGTCCGTATCCATTCTAAATGAAAGGTCTAGAGATGAAAAGAAAGATTGAGGTGTCTTATTGTCGTGAGAATCAGTCAATCAGTTTATCAGGCGAGACAAGACTCGAGAGAGAAATGATCACCTTATCATGCGTCTACAATTTGTTTTCATGAAAGAATACGGAGCAATCTGATTATAATAAACTGAAAATATACGGAATCAATAAGCTTAAACCGGAAGTGGATTTACGTTAGGGCGTGGTTAAAATGGCTGCCATGAGGACTGCATATAATCTGCAAAGGACAGGGAGTTTAGCTCGAGCCCTTCGGATAGCACCTCTACTATCAAGTAATTAATAAGAAACTACTCCTTTCTCTTTTTACCATCAAACAGCAACCAATGGTGGCCTACAGACAAAGAGATATTCCTCAAATAGTGGTTATGATGGCACCAGAAGAAACCTTATGATTAGCGAGAACACTAGAGTTATCTGTCAGGGCTTCACGGGAAATCAAGTAAGCAGCATCTGTTTTATTAACCAAGAGAGGGTTGTTTCAACTGTCAATCGGGTAGCTGTCAATTTTATTTTTTTGAAATTTTTGTTTGTAAATCACAAATTAACACTTTAAAGTTCCACCTACTTTGACTAGGGTACCCTGCACTCTGAGCAGTCGATTGAGTATGGAACTAATGTAGTGGGCGGGGTTACGCCTGGTAAAGGAGGACAAACAAATCTTGGAAGACCTGTTTTTAATACAGTGAAAGAGGTGTGACCAAACTATATAATACTAATCGTACTTATCTTACTTATATTTTAGGCCAAAGAAGCGACAGGTTGCGACGCTTCCATTATATTTGTACCACCTCCTGTAGCTGCTCGTGCCATACTGGATGCCATTGAAGCAGAGATTGGTTTAGTGGTTGTCATTACGGAGGGAATTCCCCAGCAAGACATGGTCAAGGTAACAGCAGCTGGATAAAAGAAAAGAAGGAGGACATTTTTTATTATTATTTTAGGTCAAACACACTTTAATTAGACAAAATAAGACAAGAATGGTCGGACCCAACTGTCCCGGAATTATCAGGGTTAGTTAACTTGAAATTTGCTTGGCACTAAAAATTTTTGACAATCATGCATGATTGAGTATTGACATAGAGATTAGTCTGATGTGAAATTGGGAATACATCAAGATCTACTGTATCTATATTGCTTTGCTTGCTTAGGCCCAGATCCTTAATTCATCTATTTATTTATGTTTGTTCATTTCATTTCATTTAGCCTAGTCATAAAATAAAGATGGGGATTATGCCTGGATTTATACACCAACCTGGTAGAGTTGGCATAGTATCAAGATCAGGTACACTCACTTACGAAGCAGTCTGGCAGACTAGCAATGTTGGATTAGGGCAGTCTCTTTGTGTTGGTAAGGGAAAGGATCACACGTATATCATGTGACAATCACACTATGTGAATTGATTATAGGCATTGGTGGGGATCCTTTCAATGGAACCAACTTTGTTGATTGTCTTGATGTGTTTTTAAAAGACCCAGACACAGATGGTGAGAGAGAGATTTCACACACATACACTGATAATGTTCTTGTAATGTTAATGTTACAGCTATTGTACTCATTGGAGAGATTGGTGGTTCAGCTGAAGAGAATGCAGCAGAATATTTACAGGAACACAATTCAGTAAGAGACCATTACTGACCTCAAATACCTAATGTACCCGATTCACATTATGTGCATAGGGACCCAATGCTAAACCAGTAGCTGCCTTTATAGCAGGACTGACAGCACCTCCTGGGAGAAGAATGGGTTAGTTTGTATGCACCATAATACATGAACACTGTATGGAGTGACCAGTGTGAATCAGTAATGTAATACCTGAGTCTCTTGATATCTGCCCTCAGCTTCACCTCAATCAGATATCTCAATCCTCGGGTATTACATTACTTCTTAATATACCGTATAGCGGGAAATTTTGGAGGGAATTAAATTTGGTGTATTGATAGCCATTCGCCAAAATAAAATCTCCCATTTTGAGTCAATTATACGCATGCTCAATGTCACATGGCCACAAATTTGCCAAATTAAAATTCGCCAATCAAAATTTCCCGCTATATGGTACACACCTTGAATCTGTACTCTGGATATAAATTGAATGTACAGTATGATCCTTTGTCCATATTAGGTCATGCTGGTGCTATCATATCTCAGGGTAAAGGCGGAGCTCAAGAAAAAATAAAGAGTTTAGAAGCAGCTGGAGTGCATATCGCCAAATCACCAGCACTTATGGGAGAAACTATTAGAAAGGTACGAGAGATCCGTCTGTTTAAAATTAACTAATTTTTATAGGCAATGGCAGAAGCTGGTAAACTTTAGCTAGTTAACATGTTAACATAAGCAGCAAAATATCACGAGTCGTGGACATATAGAAATAATTAATATTCATAACATTAATTGTTATTATTAATTAATTAAAAATTGATACTATTATGTTAGCGGTGGATAAAATAATACTAATAATAATAATATAATACTAGTTTACAAAACTGGTTTTGTTCCTATCCCTCCAGCCAGTTCAAACACACTTTGAGCAACAGCAATACCTAAAGAATGAGCTTCCTCCTACAATCATAAATAAAGGAGGCGTGGCTCATTAATTAACGACTATGAAATGATTAATCTCACTTTTGTTTCAGCTTCTGCATAAACTCTAACAATGTCTTCGGTACCAGATGGTCTGTATATCAGAGAACAGCTGGTAATACTGACTCCTCCCCTTCCATCACTCACCTAACAAAGGATCTTCCCTTACTGACTGTATTTACTAATTTATCAATAAGATCTTGTAGCCCGTCTGGTTTGACACACTTCCTCTCTTCATCAGCTGTCTTTATAACCTGACGGTCTTTGACCTTTTGATTATAAATAATATTAATTAACTAATAATAGTTATTGTTAATTACTTTAACTTTTATTTGTTCGTTAGGTAGATCTGTATAGAGGTTAGCCCAATCATCAAAACTCCACTTAATAATAATAATTAAATAATTATCAGTGCTCTCTCTCTCTCACTCACTTTTTTATGCGACAGTATAACTTGAACTATTAACATGTCAGATATTGAGTCACCTGTAGTCTGAAGAATAAAAAGATTCAGTTAATTTATGTAAATATATTGACTGTGTGAATTTTGTCTAGTTTGATAGTTGGACATTACCTGATTAGTTAAATCAATGAGGTCCAGGAGAGCCTTACCACTGCTTCTAACATCATCGGACAATCTAAAATTAGTACAAATAAACGTAATATACCACCATATTAACATACTTCTCATTATGCACGAATGCCTTGATTCGTTCTACAGCAGTATCACTGTAGAGTACAGTCCCATGTCCATTAGCCTCAAAGAAGATTCCGATATCAAATTCTTGAGCTTTTCGCTGAAGATACTTCACTCCCGTCTCTGTAAAAGTCACTGGTATATCCTATTATTAATGATAATAATGAATAATAATAATAATCTTACCAGTGTCTCTTGTATGTATGTGGTAGAACTGCCATTAGCATAAGCTGTTTGAATGACGCCTAAAAAGAAAGAGAGAGCCATTCAAATTAAGCAACTTTTTTTTTAAATCGTAAAAAAACCTTTTAATTGGAATGAGCTCAAACTTGAAACACAAAATAAGTACATGCATATGCATCAGAAAATGTAATAAAAATAGAGAATTCTCTCCTAGTCATTTTTGGCAAAATTTGGCCAATGACCCTGTACTATAGTACAGGGACTTTGGCCTGATTTTGGAGCAACTTTAAAAATTCGTAAAAAATCTAATTTTGATCGGAATCAACTCAAACTTTCTACACAACATAAGTACATGTATATGCATCAGAAAATGTAATAAAAATAGAGAATTCTCTCCTAGTCATTTTTGGCAAAATTTGGCCAATGACACTGTACTACAGTGACTTCAGCCGTGTACAATGTTAGTTAATGTGATAGTAACTTACTCATGTTTAGTTTAAGGCTTAACGTTAATAAATGATCTTTAATGAACATTGCCATCTGTAGAAATAATCATAAATAATCACAATATAACTAATTTATTACATACCAGACTGGCAATTCTGTCTCCATCAAGCAGAACGAATTTACCTCCATCTATAATACATGTACATGTACAGATACATGTATAACTATCAATGTGGATACCTTTACTGCAGTACCAGAATACAATCCTGTCTGCGTCTCCATCAAACGAAACATAACAACCACCTGGAACTATTGGTACACCTGGACACAAAGCACATTATTAAGACCACACCCTCTAAACCACACCCTTTAAAACAAACACACCCTCTTACCGTTAGGGGCAACTTGTGATGCCTTTACAAAATCAGCTCCACACTATAACATTAATTTATTTATTTATTTGTTTGTTTTGTTTACCATATAATTCAGTTCTCCATTGGTTCCGTCATTATACACTTCAATGTTCATTATGTCCCCGATGTGCTCCAATAGCTCAATCACTCTCCCCGCCCCCACACCGTTAGCAGCATCCAGTTTCATGACAGGTTTTGAATCTGACACTACCTGGAATAATAATAACTATAATTTATATGGCCAAAACTACATTTACATGACATGTGGATAATAACATGTAATTATGTACATGTAAATAACTAATTCTCATTTCAGCTGCTTATGTAGTATTTTAGAACTTGTGTACAAGTACATGTATATGTTTAAGGTTTTTCGTGAGTACCTGAGACATCAGTGAGCGAAAGGCCTTGGAGAGTTTTTGATAGTAGCCAAGTGGAGTGGGTTGGCCATAGGAGCACTGTGAGTTGTGACTTTTGACGATAAAATGTAACTGGGGAGTAGTCAATAAACCTGAATAATAATAAATTTTATTTTATTTTATTTTTCTTCACTAATTTTTGTTCATCCTACATCTAAGTGCTCTTTCTGTTTTTATAATGATAATAATAATAATAACAATAATAATAATAATAATAATAATAATAATAATAATAATAATAACCGTAGTTCATAAAGGTTATACCGTATAGCAGGTATATTTCCCAGGGAAAATATTTCACAAAAATTGCCTTTCAACCTATTCACAAAAAATTTTCTTGCGTTTTGCTTCTACTGACCATTATTAGTATGTTACAAAATAATTGTCATAGATAAAAAATTTCATAAATTTTTTAAAACTGCGAAATTAGTGAAATTAAATCCCCGTGAAATATATCCCCTATACAATACATGGTATATGTAATTATTGCAAATCAGTCAAAAATAATACGTGTACATGTAAATCATCATTTTGAGTACATGTACATGCAGTCATTCACATACCATGATCAGTATAACGTACTCCTAATAGCTGAAGGCCATCTTTTAACAAAGCCAACAGACCATCACTGCTCGGTCTAGTGTAAAAATAGTAAATAAAATATTCACCAATTTCTGTGCTACCTGGTGTCCCTTGCAATTTGAATGACAGGATTATAATTAATATCATTTAATGAATATTTATTAACAGTGGACATAATGACCTCCTTTAAATCCGAGCTAATTAAAGGAGAATCATATAGCTTGAAATTATTATTTATTTTCAAACTTTGTCGCATTAGCGATTTCCGAGGCCACAGACTCCCATTCTGGTATTAACATTTCCCCTCTTGTGTCGACAAATTTAACCCCATTATCCTAATTAATGCACACATATTAAAATAGGATCACACCCACAACTGACCTCCACAGGATTATGAGACGCAGTAATCACAATACCAATAGACCCTGAAATAATAATAAATAAATAAATAATTATTTTGTGCTTTACCTCGAGCAGCTCTTGATCTCAGGCCAGCTATGACGCTTGCTCTAAAAAGTACACACTCCAGTAGATTTGCTCTGCAGGTAAGAAAAGAAAAATTTAGTTTTTATTAAATTTATACCTTCACAAAAATGTCTACCTTTCTCTAAAACCTGCTGTACCGTATGAGAACTTTTTTGGTGGGCCATTAGGAAACCTGGCCCTGTCTTCAGTCACAAAACCTTCAATAATGGCCTCCATTATCTTGAGAAAGTCACAAAGGGGCAAAAATAAGCAAATATCCGTTTCGTGAACGGAATAATTATCCGGTAAACTGTTTATACTCACAAAATACGGATTACTTTGCATACAATATCCGGCTGTAAACGAAATCATTATGAAACATGCCTTCATGTGTCGTTGATGTTGAAGTTGCTACCAGTTATGTCATCATCATATTACTGTAGCTCTAGCAAGTACAAGAAACAAGAAAAATAGCTTTGGAAGCGAGAGAGGGAAGGAAGAAGAAATTTGCAGACTGGACTCGTTGGAATGGCATCAATTCATCATTTTGAAGTCTTAACCTCAAACCTGTCTCATCGTGTGAACCAGTTCCAGTCCCAGTTTGGGTTTAAAGTATTTGCACATTCAGCGACTTCAGACCAACCCACTACTGTGGAGGGAGAGGGCGTGGCTTTACATATTAATTCCGTCGTCATGGTGATCAGAGGTGTCAAAGGGGTTTCGCCTCCTAATGACTGGATAAGCGACGTCGCATTACATATCTCGTCTTCGACTCAATTTGACGGTTTACTTGAACGACTACAATCGACATCCGATGCAAGCGTTTTAAGAACTTCTTGTACGACAGATACTCCTCGACCATTAGCTGAAGGCTTGTTGTGTCCAGCTGGTACAGGAGATAATACTAGAACTAAACAAAGGAAATATTTTAAAGTATCGAGTCCGTTTAGTTCTGTATGTCATACTGTAATATGTGGAGAGTGCAGTTGTAAAGAAGGATGGAGGGACGGAGGAGAAGGAGAGGGTATAGAGTGTCTTTTAGGTTTCGTTAAGTGTCCATTGCTTTATGGGGAACCTTGTTCGTCATGTAGTGGGCGGTTTGATTCTAGTTCTTTGGTATCGAGGCCTCGGGATGTGTCACATGTTGATCATGTGACTTTTGCATGTCACACTCATTCATCTGACGACATATTGAAATGGTAAGAGACTAATATTATATATTTATAATATTTTATTATTATATTTTAATATCAATATTATATTTTATTAATTTTATGTATTTAGGTACGAAAGACATCTTGGATTCCAAAGGTTGCAGATTAACTCTAAAGAAGATGATAATGGTTTTATTTTGGATGGCAGCAATGGGATGAGAATGTTAGCCATGAAGTACTGGCAATGTTCAGAGACCACGGCTACGTTGGGAGGGAAAGACGAAAAACTAGTTCAACTTGTTTTTGCAGAGCCACTTCCTAATGCAGGTTAGTTAATTGAGAATATACATTGTTATTAATTGTTATTAATAGGAAAGAATCAGGTGGGGACTTTCCTTAAGCAAAATTCCGGCCCTGGTGTTCAACACATTGCCTTTCACACTGAGAATATTGTGGGTGTGGTTTCTAATCTCCGTAGCAACGGCGTTCATTTCATTACTCCACCACCTGAATACTACTCACTGGTGAGTCTGTTCTAATTGTACTTAAACTGTTTAGCTTCTCTTGCAGTTTGAAAAGATGAACGAGATAAGGAAGGCTGGTGAGAGCGTAGACCTGTTGCAAGAGAATAACATATTGATTGATTTTGAAGAGGAGGAAGAGAAGAAAAAGTAAGAGAAAGAAGAAACTAGCTCTAGTGACAAAGCGGTTTATTAATTTATTTTTAATTTATTTTCAGGTATCTAATGCAAGTCTTTAGTCATCCTTTATTCGATAGAGAGACATTCTTTCTTGAGATAATTCAAAGACACGGTGCTGCAGGCTTTGGTGCTGGTAACATCATTGCTCTGTGGAAAGCACTAGAGATTCACTTTAGACGCAATAAAACAATAGGAGGACACTCAGGATACTAGCCTACGTGTATAGTAATCTATTAGTAATCTATGCCCATACCACACTATTAAATTATTATTTATTACACTCATCTGTTGCATATCAAAACTATTAAAATGATTTTAAATCTTAAGATCAAAGCGTGTGGGTGTAGCAATAATTTGCGTAACTGAAAAAATTATAAACTAATAAAAAAATTATGTCACTTCAAACTCCATGAAACTGTCAAACAGTCTCTTCCAATTAACAATGTCGGTAGTAGCAATAATGAAATAAACATTGAGTTTCTGTTCCATGAAACGTAAAGTATTCACCTCAGAATAAGTAACCCCACCCACAAAGTATACCAATATGACACGCCTCCTGCCCTGCTCATTACGAACACTCTTAAACTGATGGTGAGTGAAACTAGATCCTTCCCAATTCTTAACGACCCCCTCAATGTGGCTCCACCCACCAGTGGATACTACACTGCCAATTGCAGATACACTCAATGGTATGTAGGCTCCTCCAAACACATACGAAGCATCAGTTGGTTCTTTGAGATTAAAGTCCTCTGGTTTCTTGGGAACTAGTTTCAAAAGTCGCTGTAGTTGAAAGAAAGGCGCCATGTCATCTTTTAGAAGACTCTTGGAACTGATTATATCGTCTTTTGCTTTAGATTTAAGGAGACCAACCTGCTGCAGGTGGTAGAATGTAACAAGATGCTTGTGGCCATAGCTATGAAGAAAGCTACTCTTAAACGGATGGAAGTATTTCTCTTTGATCCCGTCAGCAGTGACAGAAGCGAGACAGAGCAGCTGTAGTGATGAGTAGATATTACTCTGTCCCTCAATGCTCTCCTCAATATGATCGTATGCTGTTACTTTATTAGAGCCTTCTAAGAGTGTCCATTCTGTCGACAACTGTCGCTGGAAATCTCCTTCCTTCTTTTTACGAATTATATTCTCACTTGCTTTGAGATGCGTGGATAGCGAGTCGTGCTTCGTTCTCAGTTGTGGCAAATTCTTCACAAACTCTTTCATCTCTTGTATAGTTTTGTTCTTGTCTCTTCCGTGACTGTAATCTCTCTGGAGCTCTTTCGAGACAGTAACCAGTACTTCACTAACACCAGAGAAATGCATTGAGCGAATTAAACTAAATACCGGATCATTCTCGTTCAATAAAACCTTAACGGGCACACCCTTACCGCTAGCCTCCTTACTAAACTCAACAAAACCTGACTGTATCCCAAAAACATCATCAAGCATTCCCTCGTATGTTAATTGCGAGCATAACGGTGTGATCCAGTCGCACGAACGGTCGAATAAAATGACTTCGGAAACACCCAAACCTTTCTGCGGATGTTGGAACTCTGTCAATCCTTTAATCTTTTTCATGCGAATGAACATATCCATCACTTTCTTGGAGAAGTTTCCCTTGCCATGGAGTGTGGGTATCGTACCAAACTTTTCTTCAAGATCAATGAGCGAGCTAGCAACCAGGTGTAATATCGAGTAATTCCCCTCCAAAAGAAGCGCTCTTGCTGTCTTTGGGTGCTCAAGAGAAAGGAGATGATCGTCAAGTGGTATGAGGTTAAGATTCCAACTGTACCTCTTAACATACCCTATTACTCCTTCTCTCTCCAGGATATACTCGCAGAGGGCGAGTACACGTGGTATGAATAGGATATGGTACATTCTCTGCTCCTTTTCATTGAGGTCGGACTTAATGTGATTAACAATGTGTTGCATTGGGGCTATCTCGGGTCTAGTCAGATAGTAACGTAGTGGGCCGCCTGTCTTCATTATTGGCTCAAGTAGATAAATGTGTTCTACCTCAAGACTACAAAAATAAGAATATTAATGAGAGAGAACTCTAAATGGCTGCTACAATACAATACCTTCTCAGTGTCTTCATTGGTGCTACATGCTCCAGGAGTGTCATTAGCTCTTTTGACTGAATAACGAGGTCTTTTGGGCCGGGAGGACTTGAAGTAAAGAAATTTTGAAACTCTTTTCTCGCCTCATCACAGACTTCGCTAATCCGAGGGACCTGGCTAGCGAAATCTGCTTCCTCTTTAGCCTCCTCTTCAATATGGGTGGCCATTTTGAGGTATGCAAAGGCGGGGCTAACACTAGTTAATAACTTCAGTTATTAGATCTAGTGGTTATGAATTCGATTATTAATGGTTATAAATTCCTGTTAATATGGATGGTCAGCCTTATGCGTTCTCCAGACGTTATCTTGAAGAGCTGGTCCGTGTATTGAGTAGAAGGTAGAGGGAAAGAGATATACTAGTAGTGCAATTAAAAAATAACCGGGTAATCGCTTCAAATTATGGAATCATCAGGTGAAGCAGGTAAAAGATTAGCAAGAAAAAGATTATCTTCTGGAGGAAAAGGGAAACTAGCTTCGCCGTTAAAGAAAAGAAGGAATACAAGAACAGGCAACAGTACGTCTGATCCTCTTAATTTATCCGCTAAAGTAGCCCCGCCTACAAGGGACCCCGCCCAGTTGGAACACACTTTAGGAGATCAACCCAACCCACTCCCAGAGCTGTTGCATCACGACCCCCTCAACCTCGAGGGGAAAATTGATAATTTCGATTTGATTGTTTCCGAGTTTAACAAGAAGCCACACCCAGCCGAGAAGCCGAGCTGCTCAAAATCGGTTAAAAAAAGAAAAAGGCAACGAAATAGATCACAATCGAGCAATGACCAGTCTCTCCCGACTGCCCCTCCTGTCTCTTATAATGCTCAGCGTGCAATATATCGCTATGGCAACTATACCCAGTACTATGGCTACCGTAACAAAGGGGCAGAGCCTGCTAATGATGGACGAGTGAAGTTATTGCAGGAAGAATGGTTTCGAGATAAAACAGTCCTTGACATTGGGTGTAATACCGGCTTGTTAACAATAGCTGTTGCTTCTCTCTTCTCCCCTTATAAAATAACTGGGATTGATATCGATAAAAAACTTATTAGAATGGCTTGGAAGAATTTGTACAGAGGGAAGGTGTCCATTGTAACACCAGCTGGTCAGCCGTTTCCAAAGTCTTTGACGATGAGGTACCTTCCACCTGCAAAAGATCTTGTGACATCGTCAAGTGAAGTTATGAGAAACATTGAATTTGTTGAGGTGAGATCATTGTTATTAGAATTTTGTTTGGGGCTTGCAGAAACTAGTAATTTTGGATGGAATGAAGTTCTAGTAAAATACTAAATTTTTGTCATTTGCTGGTTTTAATTTAGTGAATTTGTGATTATAATTATAGTTTGTGATTTATCAATCTATATTACCGTATAGCTGGAAATATTTGCTGGAATTTAATTTTGCTGTTTGCTGTTCATCATAAAAACGCACAATTTAATTTCGCAAAGCATTATAAGTAATGGATGTATCAACAGTACACGCCTACACCAGTAAAATTAAATTCCACAAACATTAAAAATAGCTATATGGGTACAAAATCGCAAAATATAATTCCCGCAAACTTTTCCAGCTATACGGTATTTTATTATGCAACCTTTTTTAGGGTAATTACGTACCAAGCAGCGATGAAGAAATATCTTCATTATCGCCAGTGTATGATGTCATAATGTGCATGAGTGTCACTAAATGGATTCATCTCAATTGGGGTGATGATGGAATAAAGAGATTGTTTAAAAAGATATATCAAGAGCTGAAACCAAACGGAATCTTAATACTGGAACCGCAACCTTGGTCCTCTTATGCCAAGAGAAAGAAGCTAACAGTAAGCAGAATAAGTAATAATTAATATAATAATAATATGATTATATTTATTTTTGTTTGTAGGAGGGTATTTTTAATAATTACAAGACAATAGAGTTATTTCCAAGTCAGTTCACTTCTTATCTAATGTCGCCAGAGGTAGGATTCACTTCACATACTTATCTTGGAAAATCCGACAATAACAGCTCAGGTAACATAAAAATTTTTAGAGTAAAAATTTTCAGATAGAGAGTATTACACTACCCATTCACCTACTGTATTATACATAAATACTTCTGTACAATCATGTTTCATGTTTCATTACAGGTTTTCAACGATGCATACATGTTTATAAGAAGTCGTCATGTGATCTTTTGCCTCAAGCCACACCCACTGATGCCAACGATTGCAAGGCCACACTCACTAAAGAGACCACACCCATTAAAGGGACCACACCCACCAACATCGTATGATAATAATTATTATTATGGTAGCAATTCAATCAACACATTCAAAAATAAATAAGTTAAAGTCCTTTATTAAAATACACTTTTTGGAGGTGAGGCTGTGTCTTCTGTAACCTTTCAAGTAGTTCTGGCTCTAGTTTAGAGACACTAATAGAACTGAAGGAAAGAGAGAGAGAGGGAGGGAGGGAAGGAGAAAGGGAGAAGTACATTACATTGTTCAGTGTATAGTCCCTCCTAACCTTTTCTGTGGAAATATTGCACAGCACAGTGGAGTAGCAAACACCAAGCTGTAATAATAATTAACAAATAAAACAAACTAATATTAATACATGGACATTATCTACCTCATTCCAACCAGCATCACTTGGAGTGGACCCGCTGCCCATGGCACCCTCTATTCATCAATTAATTGATTAAGTAGTTAATGAATATAATAATGAAATTAATGGGTTTGTTTTGAACTAACTTTGAGGTAACCTTTCTTTTCAATTGAATTCATAATGATAGCAGGTACGACTGCATAGAAATAATACCATCAATATTGACATGAATTAATATTATTCTAAATAATGCACTCACTCATTCCTGGCATTGCCATCACTATCCTTGAGAAACAAACCTGAGCAATTGCTTTCTTAGCTGCATTCTATTAATAAATAAATAAATAAAATAAAAAATAATAATAATATTCAATTCAACACATACTTTAGATACTCCAACCTTGTTATCGTCAGAATCAACAATAGGTATTCCATTATTAATTTCTCTAAAATATCAAAATCATTTAATTATTGATAGTGTTTGGTCATTATACCTTTGTCTCATGAGAGGGATATTCACACAATTAGCAGCTGCAACTGCCGCAAAAGGAACAAACCGACCAATAAGAGGAGGGAGATTCTGTAAACAACAAACAATAAATAAAAACAAACAATATTACTGCTAGTCGTTACTTTTGCCAGTACATTCAAACCAATGGCTGTAGCTGTAGCACAGGTAGTTGCAGCAATGTATGGCTGAATGACTTGTCTAATAATAATAATATTAATAATGAAAATAATTATAGTTAATAAATAATCTAATGATAATTATTATACTTTGGTGTTAATGGTTCATCTCCGCTCCTGTTGGTATAATTAACTATAGCATTGAAGGACTGATTGGTCCACTGCCAGAAAAACACAGCTGCTGGATGTCTAATAAAAAATAACAATAACAACTATTTTGCTATGCTATTAGAATATGTGCAAAATTTTTTTATATAGATCTATTACTTGTAAAATGTCATCATTAGCCCTGTGATGGTCATATTACAGGGAACTTGTGCTGACATTCTTCCCAATATGAACATCTTTTCTCCAGTGTCGGGATGATAGGCCGAATCATAGAGAGTCTTTGCATTCCAAAGCTCATCCTCTGTGATGCCTGCTGGAGCTATACCTTCCCTGTGTGATAGAAGAACAGGTAATGTTTAGACTGGGACATGAACAATGTGTCATTATTTTAATTATTTATCAATTTTTATTTGTATTATTATTATAGAGGTACAGTCAAATCTGCTATTGTGGACACTCTAAAATAATAAAATAAGGACACCTCTATAATGAGGACAGGTAGTATCAGTTCCAATACATTATAAATGTGTATTAATGAACCTCTGAAATAAGGACAGGTTCATAATTAAGACAGTATTATTGGGTCCCAAGGTGTCCAGAATAGACAGGCTTGACTGTAATATTGTTAGAACAAACAGGATTACTTGTATTGTTTAACAGTCAGTGCAGCCTCTTCAAGCTGTTTAGTTGTAGCCAGTAGGTTCCTTGGGTCAGTGACTTGAAAGAAATGTTTAGCTCTTCCAGAGAATACAGTTTGATCATATCTAGGCCGTGACAGATCAACGTCTATCTTAGAATATTGGGTTTCTTTCTCCTCCTTAGACATTGCAAAACCAGTTTAACCACCAAGACAGAGAGTGAGGAAGATTTTGGGAACAACAAGAAGGAGGGGCTAGTTTTTGTGCGTGGGCGTTGAAGTTTCCACGCCCAAAGACCAAAAGGCTGCAATTTATGGCAGGAGCAAGTGCATTTATAATTATTTTTTATCTATTTATTTATTTTATTTTATTTTATTTATTTATTAGGAGTGCCTGATCCACCAATTGTTGGTAAAGTAACCTCTCATTCCATAGCCCTGTATTGGAAGGAGGCAGACCACGCCCACACCTACCTGATTCAAGAGAGAGACAAAACTAGTTTGGGCAGTTTTGTGACAGTATATGAGTAAGAGCTTATATACCGTACACCTGGTAATTTTAGAGGAGCAAAATTTTAGTAAATTATTAGTGATTGGTTGGTTCCAATTTGGCGCATTTGTGGCTGTCTTAAAATGGCTTTGTTTATTGGGCCGCAAAGCGCTATCTTTAAATTTGCTCTCCTAAGTTACCAGCTGTAGTGTATATGATTTTAATATTATTTTATTTTTTTAGAGGAGCAGAAAGTCACTGTCTATGCACTGGATTGAAACCAGGGAGTGAATACCATTACAGATTAAAAATAGTTAATAATAATAATAATAATAGTAATTCACCTGATTCAGACTGGAGTCAAGCTATTACAGTTTCAACCACACGTATGAATAATTAATTAATGAAATGTTTAATTAATTAATTAATTATTGTTTATTAATTAATTAATAGGTCAAACAATGTCTTGTGACAATCTTCATAAAGCAATAACTGCTGATGATGTGAATTCAATCAAGGTTATACTGGAGTCCGAGTTAGTCTAATTAATGATGACAATTAATGAATAATTAATTAATAGTCCTCAGTTTATTGATATACCAGATATAAATGGACTCTCTCCTCTAATGGCTGCAGCTAAGAAAGGAAGAGTTAGGTATTATTATATTTATTTATTAATTGTATATATATATATATATTTAAAAATAGAATAGTTGAACTGTTGTTAAGTTTTGGAGCTGATGTTGAGTATTGTAACACAGCTGGTAAGACCAGTTTGATGGAGGCAAGTTACCATGGACACAATGAATGCATCAGACTGCTACACAGTGCAGGAGCTTTGTGGTCACAGTGTGACCTTTCGGGTAATGAATGAATTGATAAAATTAATAATTGATTTTGAATCAAAATTGAATTTATTGCAAAATACCCAAGGCTATTATAGCCCATGGTTTTTTCTAAAAAATGGCTCCGAAATCATCCCAAATTTTTATTGCATTTTCTGATACACATTGATGTCCTTATGATCTGTAGCAAGTTTGAGCTGATTCCGACTTCAATTTTTCAACTTAGGTCCATTTTGAGAAAATGTCAAAATTCTCAAAAATACCCAAGGCTATAGCCCATGGTTTTTTCCAAAAAATGGCTCCGAAATCATCCCAAATTTTTATGACATTTTCTGATACATATCAGTGTCCTTATGATATGTAGCAAGTTTAAGCTGATTCCGACTTCAATTTTTCAAGTTATGGCCATTTTAAGAAAACTCCAAAATTCTGAAAAATACCCAAGACTATAGCCCATCGTTTTTTCCAAAAAATGGCTCCGAAATCATCCCAAATTTTTATTGCATTTTCTGATACATATTGATGTCCTTATGCTGTGTAGAAAGTTTGAGCTGATTCTGACTATAATTTTTCAAGTTACAGCCATTTTAAGAAAGCGCCAAAATTCTGAAAAGTACCCAAGGCTATAGCCCATGGATTTTTTCAAAAAATTGCTCCGAAATCACTCCAAATTTTTATTGCAATTTCTGATACATATTGATGTCCTTATGATCTGTAGCAAGTTTGAGCTGATTCCAACTTCAATTTTTCAACTTACGTCCATTTTGAGAAAACTCCAAAATTCTGAAAAATACCCAAGGCTATAGCCCATGGTTTTTTTCCAAAAAATGGCTCCGAAATCATCCCAAATTTTTATTGCATTTTCTGATACATATTGATGTCCTTATGATCTGTAGCAAGTTTGAGCTGATTCCGACTTCAATTTTTCAAGTTGTGAGCATTTTTTATTGAGTTTTATCCTCACTATAGGCATGTCAGTGTTACATTGGGCAGTTGATGGTGAACAAGCTGAAACTGTTGAATATTTAATTAACGAAGGAATACCAGTAATTATTTTTATTAATTATAATGACTATTATTAGTTGATAATCATGATAGGTTGATGTTGTATTTGACTCTACTGTATCTGAATGGACTCCGCTGTTGCGTCTTAGTAAGTCTCTGTACTTTTAGCCCATGGTCTTTGGCCCAATTTTTCAACAACTTTAAAATTTGATAAAAAATCCAATTTTGATTGAAATTGGTTTTTCTATGCAACATAAGTACATGTATATACATCAATAAAATTCATAAAAATGGAGGAGCCTCTTCTTTTCATTTTTTGCAAAATTTAGTCACTGACCCTGTACTATACTGTACAGGGACTTTGGCCTCATTTTGCAGCAACTTGAATAATTTGTAAAAAATCCAATTTTGATCGGAATCAGCTCAAACTCTTTATGCACCATAAGTACATGTATATGCATCAGAAAATATAATAATACATGTAACATCATAGGTGCCACTAATGGTAATACTGCCATTGCTAATATACTGATATCAAATGGAGCTGACGTGAACAGGAGGGACAAAGAAGGACAGACACCTTTAATGGTGGGTAATGGGTACCAAATTACTGATAGTCATTATTGCTTTTTTTATATCAACAATATTTTCTATGTTATTAATTTTTTTACATTTTTACTGCTCCAGTTTGCGTGTCTTGGTGGTCATAAGGATCTAGTCCATTTATTGTTAAAGTACAACTGCTGCACTACCATTAAGAGCAAACACGATAAAACTGCCATTGACTTTGCAGCTCTATTTGGAAGAGAGGCAAGACATATTATTTGGATACTCTCAGTATACTCTTGCATACTCTAGGATATTATTGATATGATTAAAAGTGTCACAAGACGTGGAAGTATAGAAGAAAAACGACAACAACAACAATAAACAACAAACATCACTTAGACAACAAAAAGACACTTACAATAATTAATATTTATTATTAATATTACATATAAGAGTATTAATAAGTTTTAACACACACCACATGTACATTAATAACTCTTCCGCCTTTACTTAATTCTCTTTCTCTCTCTCCTCTTTCACTCTCGAAAGGTTTTAAGTTTCTTCATCGTCAGACGAAGAAGAGGAACTAAAAGCTAGTGATGAGAGGAGTAGTTCTTGTACGAACAGGCTCTTGTTTGTCCTGTCCCTTTCAACTAGTTTCTGTTCAGTGTCACTCAAAATGGTGTCTTGATAACTGTGGAGAGAGAGAGAGAAGAGAAACAAAGAGAAGGGGGAGAGAAAAGATCAATAATAATCATAGTTTTATGCATATACAGTAACACAGTCAGGGCCGCCGATAGGCTATGTGGGGCCCAGGACAAAAGCTTTGATGGGGGCCCCCACTAATACAAATTGCCCCCTTATTAATAACAGTGATTAACAGAGAGAGTTAACTTAAGAGTTGTCATGATTCATTAATCTTTTTCTTGACAAACTATATATACTTTACTACTGACCAGGGGCTTGGGGGCCCGGGGCAAACCCACCTGCCCCTCCCCTATTGGCAGCCCTATAAACACAGTCACTTACTTATTTAACAAATATGCTGATTCATCACTCTGTGACCTACTACCACATGCTGAATGGTCATTTCTATTATCGTCTTTAGCCCCGCCCCCTACAGCCACGCCCCCTGCTCCTCTAGTAAATTCCAACAATTCTCTATGCGATGGGTTGAATAAAGAATGAGTTCCACCAGCACCTCCTACGTATAACAATAAAATATTCTAATTAATACACATCTAAATGTTTCTAATTAATGCACATCCACCCAAAGACTAATTAATATTCTGAGAGACAGAGGAGGAGGAGGAGGTGATATAATGTCCTACTCCGTTTTATCTTCTGCTCAGTTTTTAAAAATATAAATAAATAAATAATAAATAATTGTGTGTCGCAGACATGCAAGGATAATAGGCCTGGTCATTTGGAAAACTATCAAAAACTCCAACAGCTTATTGGTGCATGTATTTATATAATTATTTTGATAGTTAAACATTCATAATTCCATAGATTGTTAAATATTTTCCCGAAGCTGTTTCAAATGTAAATTTTAGATAAGAAAATACTAAAATGACTTGACCCCTATCCTATCCATAAATTATATTATTATTCTTACTGTTACCACCTCCTCCTCTTCCTACAAGTATCTTACGATAAACTGGACGACGCAAGGGCGACGCCCTCTCAAAGGTCTGCTGTCTTTCCTGATGCTCCAGCAACTGCTGAATGTGAGGAGGGATATCTGAGGGTAGCCGCCTCCCACCACCACCTCCTAATTAATAATAATAATTAATACTATTAATTAATGTTCTCTGACCTAAGTGAGATAGTAGCTCCGATAAAGGGTCAACGCTGCCATCTTGTTGCGATACTTGGCTCTCCCTAAAGAACCCATACCTCTCCCCTCCCCCTCTCCTTCGAACCATCATCCTCCTCACTCTATTGTGCATCCCTCCCTGATCGTAACACACAGGACGTTAAGGACAACTAACAATTCTTTAAACCATACCCCCACCTCTCATTTATTTTAATAGTGTAATAGCAAGGTAAGATTTTGGCAAATTTGGCACTTTTTGAATAGGCCACTTGCCAAACTAAAACCAGCCATTTTAAGCCATTATGCGCATGCTCAATGGCACCTGGACACAAATTCACCAAAAACCCTCTAATTACCAAAATTCCTACCCAGCCGTACTGTACATGTACATGTACATGCATATAATGGATATGAGGTCAGCATCACGGAGTGTCAGTGAATGGTCTAACATTAAATGTCCCGAGAAATCTCTCGTTTGATGGTTTGGATTACCCCCGGGATAAGCAGCGCAGACTGGACATATCTCCATGGAAACAAGAATATTAACCACACCCACTAATAAGTGTCCACTTACCACTTCCTGTACGTTAGACGAGTCGGCGTGCTGTCTAGTCACGTGATCTCTAAATTCGCTGTCACTGAACCCCACCTCCCCACATAAAGGACATGTAAAGGACTGGGGCTGTTCTACACTGTGGCTTTCACCTCCATAAAATATATCTACATGCATGGACATAATTAAGTAACACATAGCTTTAATTGAAAAATATTTGTGAGGATGCCTTGCTTGAATAAAAATTATCTATCGCATGTGGGATCATAGCAGGATGAAGAATATTAATTAGAACAAGAAACGGTTTTTGATTTTTGACTGACGAAAATATGAAGCCATACTGTATACATTGTAATGTGTGTCTGTGTATGTAAGAGGTACGTACCTGCTTCTACTTTAGTTAAAATGACTTGCATTGGATGGTCAGTATTGTGTTGGGAGGTTCCTGTCTCACCTCCCTCATAGCAATCCTGGCACAAGTCAAAATCGTAGCAAGTTAGACACTTGTATCTCTTCCCAGGGAAGGCACTCTTACCACAGGAGTCACAGCTAATCCCTAAATACGGTAATACTGATAATGATAGCCTTTTGGATTAGGTGAGGGTACCGCTGTGTTTAGAAGGATGGCGAGACATGTTGAAACTAGTTCAGTAAATGGTTTTAAACCTTCTCTGTGGCTTCAGTCTCTAAACCAACGAATCTATTTGGGTATAGAGATCTTCTTGAGAGTATAAACTGTGAGAGAAATGAGAGAGGAGAAAAGAGAATCACATTTTAAAAAGAGCACTTCTGTCAGCCATTTTACCTTTCACAAATTAAGAATTAATTAGAGCAAGCCACGCCCACCAATTAACTTCCAATTAACTCCCATGCAAATAATTAAAATGTGACTGGTTAGTGTTAATAATTACTATGCACACACAAGACAATAATTATTTGACATGTAAATCAAAGATATAATTGATGATATTGTTTTAAAGTTAAAGTTTTTCTACACGAAGGACACTTATGCGAAGTAATTATGGCATTTCTAATGCAGTAATTGCAGAAAATATGTCCACATATCGTGGCAGAAACTTTACGACCTTTGGATTCAAACTAGAAAGAGAGAATTAAATATTATAAATATCATACGGTACCTGTGGAACTGTTTCAAGACAAACGGGACAGGAGAGTGTCAACTTTTTACTGTCCGCCAAAGCCGTGTCTTTCTCTTCTGTCTTTTTCAATCTCTTACTGCTACTACTTGATGACCTACCCGGACATTATGGATACCGTAGGTCGGGTTATATTCGCGGCTGCTAATATTCGCGATTTTTTCCCACGGCTAGCAATTGCCATAGCAACTACATGCTATTTTAATTGAAAACGGCGCGTTATTAAAGCACAGCACCCGATTACAGTGTTCTTGAGTTGTTATTCTTCTTGCTGTTACTAATCCTTGGACTCTTTGAAGCTGCTTTAGCCAGTTCTTTTAGAAAGACTCTACTCACTCTGCTTTGCCGTGTCTTGGGACTCTCCACCCATTCTAGTTAGTGTTTATTGACTTGGGTGTGGTTTATAATCATGACCGACCGACCAGCACTGATTTTGCAGCAGCGGTCCATCTATACAAGAAGATAGCGGTCCATCTATACAAGAAGATAGCGGATAGAGAACTGGAGTCTGGATGGCTCCACTAAAACTGCTAAAAGAATAGATGATTAGCTGCTGAACACTGTAATTGTATAAACACGTGGTCAGTTGTCATAGCAACAATCAATTGGTTTCCATGGTATTTAATTGAACTTCTTTATTAGTTTTTATCACCACGAATATTAGCAGCCGCGAATATTACATGTACATGTATATATTAATAAAAAATGAATACCTCGCAGAGCTAATTTTAGCAGCTGCGAATATTACATGTACATGTATATATTGATAAAAAATGAATACCTTGCAGAGCTAATTATGCAATCGTCGTTATTGTACGTTTGACTGATAAAGACGACATCTGGTGATATAGGAGTTTCAGCTGAAGAGAGAGAGAGAGAGAGAGAGGGGGGAGAAGAATAAAAATACACACACATAAATGAATAAATAAAAGAAATTCAAACTAACAGGATGACGATGAATGAGAATATCTTTGTATTGACGGCTAGAAATGTAATAATAATAAATAATAATATAAATAAGTTTTATTTAAAATAAACTAACAGATTGTTGCGTTGTTAAGTCTATGAATGAATCATTAGTTAGATCAATATATTGTGGAGGAGTAGCTAATGGAGGTAGATAAGGACACGTCATTTGATAAGTATTAAACATACAATCGGTTGTTGTATTTGTAGCCATGCCCTCCTCTCCAGGAGGAGGGGGTAACTCTTCGTTGCTCTCAGCCATTCTTAAAGCTGCCACACGTAGTCCTGAAACACGATTTGAAGTGAAACCTTTCCTACGTCTTACTCTACCCCCACCTGCTGTCCTGCTTAAAACTGATTCTATTTTATCCTTTCTCTTAGGGCTGTCCCGACCACTAGGAGTGTCAGCTAAAGTCTGAAAAGATTTTAAAATAGTAAATGATATACTGACGGGGTTTACATCGTTCATAATCTTTAAACTCTTCTTTTGAAAGAGCGAGAGACTAGCAGAGCCGCCGAGGGAGGGAGGGAGGGAAACGGACTAACGGAGGGAAAGAAGGAGACAGCAGCTGATCAAAGACACATACAACTCGACATACAGTCAGTTAGGCAGTCACTAAACTGTTCAAATCAAAAGTAAGTCGTATAATTAGAGCAAATTTTAATACGGTACATGACCACACCTGCTTGTGATTTCATTGTCACACCCACAAGTGATTGTGTCGACATTTCATTTCTGTTTGCTGTAAACTTGAGAAGGAGTTGGAATAAGTTGCTATGGACTTGAGTCCTGAGCCCACTGCCCCGCCATTACCACCTCGTAACAGAAGGGGATCAGCTTCACACCAATTTGGTATGAATGATAATAATAATTATTATAATTGTACATATACATATGTACATACTAGGCCGTACCTTAAGACGGGGTACGATAGCATTCGGACGTGCCGTGGGTGATTTTTTTGGAGTTACTGAGGAGAGTCAACAAGGGAATGATGAATCAATGGGATGGGGACAAGTAGCTCAAAGACGAGCTGAAGTATGTTAATTAATGGGCGGGGCTTTGTATTAATTAATGGGTGTGGCTTGTTGCTAACGGGTGTTTTTTAGGAGTTTCCGGCTAATTTCTCAACTCTCAGGAGAGCTACAAGGTTTGCTCTGGGCAGTGATGCCACACCTCCTCCGAGCTACCCTGACATTGAACTAGCAGGTGTTGGACAGACTGCCACTCAGTTGGTAAGTAATATTATAAAAGATATAAACACGTATAATAGTGGTAAAATTGGTAATAGTTTTATTTTGGCAATTGGCAGATTAATAATGATTATCGCCAGTATAAAATTCACTTAATTTTGCCTTATTCTTCACATGTTCAATGACACATAACTGCTAAATCACTGGTGTAAAAACAACAATACATTTGCAGTCATAGAATCACCAACATTGATTTCAGTATAATATTAATGTATTATTATTATTATATTGTTGTTCCTGTTTCTAGCAATCATTTGACCCTGCCGAGTTAAGCAGTGATGAAAGTGATGATGAGACATTCTTTACTGAAGTGCCTCCACCTAGCTACTCTGCCTTACCTCCGTTAGTTAATTATAATTAATTATTAATTATTATTGTTATTAATTAGTGGTGGGCGTGTCACTTCCATGTACGGTCATGAGGATCCTGCTAGAGTTGTGGATCGCCCAAACCTTCAGCCGATTGTTGAAGAAAGAAGTAAACTTACTCCTCCATTTTATATTAATAATAATAATTATTATTATTATTGTATTTTATCTTTAAAAGGTAATTTGTCTGTGGTTGTAGAAGATGGAGAATATTTTAATGACAAAGAAAGAGCTCTCCAATATTACATTGATTACATTAAAGTAATTATAATTAACTTTATTATTTAATTCTTTTTAATTTTAGGCCGAGAAAAGGGTGCGACAAAGGCAGAACCGTCAAAATGCGAGCGAATTCTTTGGAGAAGGATCCACTTCTGTTGATCGTCCTGCTAGAAGAGGAAGAGTCAGTTCGGTTGGTGAAGCCGTCATTATGAAGACAAAGAAAAACCGCTCCAAACTTCAGCGCCAGAACACTCAGGTACGAGAGAAAGTCCAGTCACTCCCAACCTTCTGGCCGATATTCATTATCGGTCTCACATTTGTCCAAGTGGTCGTTGTCATTGTGCTAATGGTTATCCATCGTCCAGCTCCTTTTAACATAAAACCAGAGGAGAAAGTAGCCGAGTACCCTAGCCTTAGGAATGAAAGTGGAAATGAAACGGTGACATATTATCGTTATACTAACCCGTGGTTTGGAATCGGAGTCCTCCACCTCATTCAAAGTGGAGTTAAATTCACGCCATGCATGAGACAAGACAGTGCCATTGCGAGTCGTAACTTGATACAACGTGCAAGTGACAAAGATAATGGTGGGCTTGGTTGCTGTAGGAACAACATCTGGGTCGGTAGTACTATACCAGCTCAATGCGTTAATAATCTTAATCCAAACAACAATACAGAGTACCTTGATAGAGTACCCTGCGAGGATACCACACTATTGCTAGCTAACTTTCATCCATGCTGTATTGGGATAATCGGTGAGTATTAATGTATAATGAATTAATGATGGTGTACTGTAGGGCTGGGAATTGTGGGGGCGGTAAAGTTCCTAAATTTTAGGCAATTGTGGAGTTTTAATTTGGCAATTTTGTGGCCATGTGCCATTGAGCGAAATGGCTATTAAAATGTCAAACTCACCAAAGTTTTCCCCACTAAATTACAGTATAATGATAATGGACAGTATGTATAATAATGATAATTCCTTCCATTACTTACCAGGTCAGTGTAAAGTGACTCACGTGAGAGAGTGCAAGGACAGAGGAGGTATCTTTCATCCTGAACTTGATTCGTGTAATGAGACCAACTGTCTTAATGATATCTGTGGCTTGAATGGTGTCGGCATGGCCAATAATGATCCATTGCAACCATCTGGTACTCAAACCTGGAGACTGGTTCTATCACTGTTTATACATCTTGGTTAGAGCATAATTATTATCATTTTTTAAAATTAGTATTTTATTAATATTACTAGGTGTTATTGACGTTATCGTTATTGGTATTATACAGCTGTATCTTGGTATCAAGATTGAGAGAACAGCAGGATTCCTTCGTATTGCTCTTATCTACTTTATATCTGGGATTGGCGGGAACTTGGTCAGTTAATCTATACTTTTTTACATTTTCTGATGCATATACATGTTCTTTTGTTGTATTTCTCATTCCGATCAAAATTGGATTTTTTTTACAAATTTTAAAGCTACTTCAAATATATGTACATGTACATAGCCTATCCATTGATACTGATCATTAGTGTTTCTTTTCTCCTTTAGGTGAGTGCTATATTTATTCCTTATCAAGTTACAGGTGGCGCTTCAGCAGCTGTCTTTGGACTAGCTAGTGTCCTAATAGTTGAGCTGTTCCAGGTCTGGCAGATTATTGACAAAGCCTGGCTCGAATTGCTCAAACTGCTCTCCATAATGCTGGTACTGCTAGCCATTGGTACTCTGCCCTTTATTGATAATCTTGCTAATATTGGAGGGATCATATTTGGTGTTCCAGCTGCCATTATATTCCTTCCTTACATTACATTTGGTAAGGTTGATGCCTGGAGGAAGAGGATTCTACTCATTATCTGTGTCCCACTTCTTCTGATAATGTTCCTCGTTTGCTTTCTTCTCTTCTTCTTTTTGGGCGATCCAGACTTTTGCTCTTTCTGCCATTATTTCAACTGTATTCCTTATACCAGCACATTTTGTAACAATGAGATTAACAGTCCTAATCCCGAGGTCGTTGCTCTCTAAGAAACTAACAGTTGCTATTTAACCCTTCTTGCTGCTACTATTAAAAACTCTGCCTTACATTTAAACTTTTAGTTGTGTTGCTGTGTTTTAGATTAGTGTAGTTTCATTATCTTTTACTCTTGCTATTAAATAAAATAATTAAAATAGGGAGTTATCAATGATTTTGGTTTTTAAAATTTTAAGTAAAAGCATTCATGAGGGCGTAGCCACACTGCAGCTTAGCTTAGCCAAGCTAAACATGTCTTTACCAATTCCAAAAAGAAAAGTCCAAGTTGCTGTGATTGGCGCTGGTGCGGTTGGTGTCTCTGTTGGCCTAAACTTATTAGAGAAGCTGAGTAGTAATCTGGTCGTTAGTATAATATCTGATGAGTTCAGCCCGAGGACTGTGAGTGATAAGGCGGGAGCAGTAATCATACCTTTTGACGTTAGAGCTAAGGGAAAGAGCGAGGGAAAGAGCAATGATGATGACACTGGACATCAGCTAAGAGTCAGAAAATGGACAAGAGAGACGTACAGACACTTAGAGGATCTCTACTCATCTCGGTTTGCAGAGGAAGTGAACATACAATTGGTTCATGGATATTTTGGTAACCAGGAGGACACCGTAGACCCTTGGTGGGGTAGGGAGCTTGTTACTGGGTTTAGAAGAGTAGGAGATGAAGAGAAGGCATATAAACGTATTCCACTGAGCATTAGGAATGTATTTGCTTTCAATACTTTTATACTATCTGGAAGTGACTACTTGAACTGGCTGATGAAGAGGTTTCAAGAGAAAGGTGGTTTCCTCGTAAAAATGAAAATTAACAATTTCCACGAGTTATCCTCTTACGACATTATAATAAATTGTACTGGTTTAGGAGCAAGTAGCCTCGTTCAAGATCCTTTGTTATATCCAGTAAGAGGTGATACAGTTACTATACTGGCTCCATGGATAAAGGAATTCTTCTTACTAACTAACGATGAGGAAGATTATGTCATGTATGTATTTCCACGTTCAGCTGATGTTCTGCTTGGAGGAAGCAAAGTAACTAATGAATGGAGCAAAGAAATAAATGAAGAAACAAGCAGCAAAATAATAAAGAACTGCAGCAGTATAATACCCAGTATAAGCAATGCTGCAATTGTGGATTATTCAGTTGGACTCCGACCAGCTAGAAAAGAGATACGATTTGAAGTTGATGCAGAGAATCCTTCATTAATACATTGCTATGGTCATGGGGGACAGGGCATTGTCACTCATTGGGGCTGTGCTCTAGAAGTGACAGAAATTATTAGAAATTACATTGATCTGATGCATAGAAGAGTCCCTTCCAAATTGTAGTACTGCAAATGATCTATTTAAACGCTAATTTGTTGTACCGTATTTGTGTTTTAATTAAGAGTATTAAAAATTAATTTCCTGGAATGCAAGTGGGCAGAGGAGACAAACAAGAGCCACAACAGCAGGAAAACCAGTTCATCTTTATTTGACACAGAGCAGAGCCGTCTACCTGATTAATAATGGCAAGTAGCTTTAAACTCTTCTCTTTAATAGTCTCTCCTTATTTCACAGAGCAGTAAAAGGGCCGGTATGAAGAAACACCCCAAGAGAAGGGGACAGAGAGCAACTTCGAACATATTCGCCATGTTCGACCAGGCACAGATACAAGAATTTAAAGAAGTAAATAAAGGGATAGGATAGGATAGACTAATGTACTGTTTCTAGGCATTCAATATGATAGATCAGAATAGAGATGGATTCATTGACAATGAAGATCTGAAAGACATGTTGGCATCGTTGGGTATGACCTCCTTGTCACTAAATAATCATAGTAATGCTTTCTCTCTCTCAGGTCAGGAACCAAGTGACGCTGTTGTTGACGAAATGATGGGAGAGGCACCTGGACCTCTCAACTTTACAATGTTCCTGACTTTATTTGGAGAAAAACTCACTGGTAAGAATAACACATTACACCCCTACCATCTTTAAATAATGTAAGGATAGAAGAAAGGAGAGAGAGAGAGATAGATTAAGATGGAGAAAGTGAGAAACATACATATTTTACCTTATTTGGTCATGTAATGTAATACAATGTATCATAACGATATCATTATTATAATGACACCTCCTGCTTCTTGTGTACAGGAACTGATCCCGAAGATGTTATAAGGAATGCTTTTGCTTGTTTTGATGAGGAAGGAGTCGGCACTATACACGAAGACAGGTATAATAGTAGCTAATTGATTAATTACTATTATTATTATTATTATAGACTAAGAGAACTTTTGACTACAATGGGAGATAGAATCACTGACGCTGAGGTAATTATTGTTAATATCATACTATTATTATCTTTATTTTTATTGTAAAGGTGGATCAGATGCTCAGGGGCGGAGCTCCAGTTGACAGTGCCGGTAACTTTGATTACGTTGCATTTACAAGGATCCTTAAACACGGAACCAAGGAAGACTAAAGTTTCCATTTTATCAATCTCAATTTAACAGTCTATAAGCTGTAGTAACATTATCATTTTACTTAGTTGTGTAGCGAGATAACCATTATTATTATTAGCAACTGGCCAATGTTTTATCCATTAATTTTTCTTTTATGTAATAATTATAATAATAATAACAGGACAATAAACAATCCTCTTAAAGTTAGGATGTCTCCATCGGTTTGATGTCCTCTTGTTTGTGTTTCCCCTTCAGTTTGTCTGCTTGCTTTGCTTTCACTTTGCGCTCAAGTATCTTCTTACGATCTTTGTCCAATTTGAGTTTCGTAACCACAACCTGGGGGTGTGGTTAATGGTTATTAATAGTTAATTAATATACTTTTGATGGATGGATTCCAATGTAAACAGATGCACCATTTGCCTTTTCACGCGTGACACGATCAACATGAATCACCCACTTTTTACGATAAACCTTAAAAATTAAAATTCAAGTAGAAAAAAATATTACGACATAGTATTTATTTAAATATGAACTTCTAAAAAATATAAAAAATACCTGAATAACTTTCCCAGCTTGTTGTCCTTTGAAATGCCCTCTATTGACAATTACTTCATCATCTTTACGGATTGGAATGGACCTCGTGCTGTACTTTTGACGCAAGTCCTTTGAAAGCGGGGCGCTCATCAGTTTCCTCCTAACACTGCTGGGGGCAGTAAAGTGACGCTTTCTCTGCTTTCTTCTAGAGCTGCTCAGAAACTTATTAAACTTCATCTTTATGAGAGAAGAAAAGAAGATGGAGGGCAACACGTGCAATTTACGGAGAGGGCTTATACAGTAAACTTGCGGATACTAAGTCCGGACACTAAAACCACGTGATTGTAAACCACGCCCATAATGTTTATTAACTCCGCCCATCAAAATGGCGTCTTCAAGAGATGATTGGAAGAAGAAAAAAGAGTTAGAAGAGGCTCGAAAGGCTGGAACTGCTCCTGCTGAAGTTGATGAAGAAGGAAGGTATGTCTGTAATAAAAATAATGATAATAATGATGTAATAATAATTAATATTATTATGATTAATAAAAATTATGGTGATACTGTTAATTTATACAGGGATATTAATCCACATATACCTCAATACATTGCTCAAGCTCCATGGTACGTGTCATTAGGAAGGTACGTCTGTGTGTGCATAGTTTCTGCCTCATTTTATCTTACTAACAATACACAGACCATCTCTAAGTCATCAGAGACCACAAGAACAGAACAAGAAGGTTTATGATGGAATCGATGCCTGGTACAAGAGAGGAGAAGGAGCAGGAACAAACGTAAGGAAGTTTAGAAAAGGAGCTTGCGAGAATTGTGGATCAATGACACACAAGAAGAAGGACTGTATGGAGGTATTGAGTACACTTGTTGCTATGGTTGACTTGCATAACCTATAGAGACCGCGTAAAGTTGGTGCAAAGTTTAATAATAAAGATATCAAGGAAGACGAGAGAATGCAACCAAGCTTTAACCTTAGTTATGACGGGAAGAGGGATAGGTGGGGACTATTGTTGTTTTGTTATAGTGTTTTAATTAATGACTAGGTGGAACGGCTATAATCCTGATGATCACAAAGCGATTATCGAAGAGTATTCTAAAGTTGAACTGGCAAAGCGACAGCTGAAAGCGGAGAAATTACAAGAAGAATTGATATCTGGTCAATTATCAGAAGAGACTGTGAAAAAGGTATAATAAATTATGACTATTATTATTATTATTATAACTAATATTATTATTATTATAACTCATTATTAATAGACAGAAGGTGGAGCTGATGGCTTAGATGATGACAAATATGCCGATGAAGTTGACATGCCTGGCACCAAATTTGACTCGAAAACAAGAACGACCGTCCGGAATCTTCGCATAAGAGAAGACACTGCGAAATATTTGTATAATCTTGATCCGAATTCAGCTTACTATGATCCTAAGACACGATCGATGAGAGAGAATCCGTTTAAAAATATGAACAGAGATCCTACTGAGTAACGAAATCTAATCATTAATTAATATTTTATTTATTATTTTATAGATTAAAATATGCCGGAGAAAATTTTGTAAGACACACTGGAGATGTTAAAGAGTTTGCTAAACAGCAAAGTACATCAAATATTATTAATCAATTAATTAATTAATTAATTAATAGTGTTTGCATGGGAGGCATATGAACATGGAACGGACATTCACCCGCAGGCAGAGCCCACAGCACTGACGCTAATGCATAGAGACTTTCAGAGCAACAAAGATGAATTTAAAACAGATTTAAAGCAATCGATTATAGATCAATATGGAGGAGAGGAACATCTTGAAGCACCTCCGAAAGAATTACTATTAGCTCAAACTGTAATTAATAATAATAATATTATTATTATTATCATTATTATTATTTTTAGGAGCATTATGTTGAATATTCAAGACTAGGGTCTGTCATCAAAGGACAAGAAAAAGCAATTGCAAAATCACGTTATGAAGAGGACACGTATATTAACAATCACACAGTAAGTAATAACCTTGCTAATATATAATACATTATTAATGTATATTGTGTAGAGTGTATGGGGATCATATTGGGAGGATGGACATTGGGGATACGCCTGCTGTCACTCGTTAATTAAAATGTCTTATTGCACAGGACTCTCTGGTAAAATAGCTAGAAAGGTAATTCAATTTATGATCATGTATTATTATTATTATACATCATCATTGTTGCTAGGGTGGTAAAGTCTCTTTGTCAAAGGGAATTAGAGAGAGAGAGGTTGAAGAAGAGGAGGAGGAGGTGAAGTCTCTTGTCCAGCAGCACAAGGAGAAATTGGAAGAGGAAAGAAAGAAAGGAAAGAAGAAAAGCGATAATGTTGAAGATGAAAGTTTAAAGAAAGAAGAGAGAATCAGAGCGGTAATGCATAGTGATATTACATTGAGTTTATTTCTCCATGAAAGCCTGCAATTAGAACTATTTTAATGACCTTTCTTAATCTTTATCCACTTCTACATGTACATGATGATAATGATTACAATGATTCTCAATCAACCATGACCTTACTTCTATAATGTTTTTTTTTAATTTTGAAAGGCTATGGAGAGGGAGAAGAGAAAGGAAGAGGAGCTGAAAGCATTTATGGAGTTGGATGAAAGAAAAAGACCGTACAATTCGATGAAGGCTGAAGGTTCAATGTTTCCAACTGACGAAGAAATGGAAGCGTATCACAGAAGAAAGAGACGAAAAGATGATCCCATGAACGAATTCATTTAACATAAAGATTAAAAATTAATAAAAATGAAATAGTTAAATAATGTCATAGATTTGATTCATTGTCTGTGTAGCTACCTCCATGCTGTACAAAATAATTAATAAATAACATGTAAATTACACACACATATATATATACCTTCTTCCTACATAATCAGCCCTACAAAATACAATAAAGTTAATAATTATTAATTACTGATTGTATAATGTAACGTACTGTAGTAGCGATTTTTCTAATGACTTTTCTATTGTTCTTAAGTTCTGTTAAGATATGGAATCATTTCAAAAATTAAAATTAATTTACAGATAACGTGTTATCCATTGAGTGCTCCTGTGATGATGTTTTCTTTGCTGCTTTCAAAAGTATCTTCAATCAAAATATCATTTTACTCTTCATTGGAGCTTATAGCTAACCTCTCTAGTGCTAGAATTCTGCCTAATATACTTTACTATCTTACCAAGCTCGTCTATATCTTGCTGTACTAATGTACAGATCCGTCCTTTAGCTACTTGACTTGGATCTCTCTTCTTAACGGCAGCCATTTGTAATTTAATAACTTTGCCACGCCCATTAGATCGTTGCCATAGTTGCTAAATTTTAGTAACAAAATGGCGGCCGGTTCATCTGTACAAGTAATTGGAGCCCCTGGACACTCTCCAGGTAGGCACACACGCTTTACAGTTGCAGTATTTGTTAATAGTTTTAAAGTATGAGCTCCAGCTGGCGGAGATAAAGAAAGAATATGGGAAAGGAGCGAGTATAGAGAGAATTGACTTAACTTTCTTTATTCTTGGTATTTTTAACTAGCTCTGTATAGTGTTAACTTCTTGTCTTTAGATGAACTAATACCTCAACTAGGAGTCTACCAAAGAGTAATGAATATGATACGACAAGAACTATTCTGTAAGAGTTTAAAATGGAGAATTCTCTCCTTTTTACTTTTGGTGACATTTGGCCAAAAGCCCTGTATTATAGCCCATGGTCTTTGGCCCAATTTTTGGGCAGCTTTAAAAATTAGAAATTTCTAAAAAATCTAAATTTGATTGGAATTATTTCAAACTTTCTACACAACATAAGTACATGTATATGTATCAGGAACATTTTAAAAATTAATTTTCTACTTTTTATTTTTGGAATTTGGCCAAAATTCCTGTACATGTTATTTGGCCTGACTTTCGGGCAACTTTGAAAATTCTTAAAGCATCCAATTTTAATTGGAATCAATTCAAAGTTGATACACAACATAAGAACATGTATATACATGTATGTGTATACACACATTATTAGGTGCTGTGTATAATGACCAGTATACAGCTGGTGTTGGTAAGGGGCGGAGATCATCTGTAGAGCCTGTCCGTGTTCCCTACTTCATATCAACTAAGAAAATAATGAACGAGAGGTAGCAATAATCATTTACATTTATTTTATTAATATTAATTTAATGTCTTAGAGACAAGCAAGTTTCAAAATATAAAGATCAGATTGACAGCCTTAAGGAGCAACTGTATAATTGTGAGGCCGACCTTGAGAAAGCATCATCAGCTCTGGAATCATCAAAGTAACATAAATCTATATTATACATGAAATTACATGTATATATTATATGTACATATACATATATATATGTACATGTACATGTACATGTTAGTATGGTATTATTTTGTTGTTTATAGGCACAGTGTTAAGGAATATGAGAGTAAAGTACAGTTTCTCACTCAGTCATTGCAGAAGGTCACCGAGGAGAGAAATGACTTACAATTACTGGCTACTCATCATGATGCTGTTGTACTCCACCTCACTGAAGAGGCAGAGAAAAGAGCCAATGCTTTACAAGTATAATGACACCATTATTATTATTATTATTATTATTATTATTATTATTATTATTATTGTACATTTTAGGAACATATTGATTACTTAGAATATGAAGTGAAGGAATTAGAGACATACAAGGCCACACACCAGAACTTGCAGAAAGGTGAGGAAGACATAGAAGCTACTTATTATTAATGGTTGTTGTGTTCTACTTGTTCTTTTTATCAGCTTTCAATCCTAAAAGAACTGCTATGAGTGAGCCTGAGCCTCCCCCAGCTAATGACAATGGAGTTATGGTTTGTTGCTGTATTTTTATTTAATTTAATTAATCTTAATTTTTTAAGGCTAAACTGGATAGAAATGAAGCCCAGACATCAGTACTAGTCAATCAGTTATTAGTAATACAGAATAAGCTCATTGACCGTATGTGAAATGATTAATTATGGTGATGTTTCTTAATATACTGTTCGTTTATTCAGAGTATGAAGTTGATGTTATGTCACTCTTTGGGAAAAATAAAGAGAGAAATAAATTAAAACTGATCAAAGATAAATTCAAGACCAACATAGACCTCATTGAAACAGAGGTATAGTACTTACATTGTGAGCAATTAATAAATATTTATGATTTTTTAAAGCTATCATTATTAAAATCCCATCAATCTGGTGTCAGTAATAGATCAGAATGTGTATCAGCGTTAAGTTCAGATCAATCACATCAAGCAATCATTGAACGTAACCATCCTGCCAGTCCACTGGTATCTCAAGAACAATTATTAAACAAATATTCAGCAATGGTACTATAATACATGTACATGCATTATGTTACATGTAGACATGTACATGTAGATGTATTTTTCAAGTGATTCTGGAGCTAGCTATTATCCATTGAAAGAATCTAAGGATTGCTTAAGCTGTGGAGACAAGGTAATAAATTAATACTTATTTATTTATTTATTTATTCATTATTATTTTATTAGGTGGTCATATGCCCTCATTGGTCGGATGTAGAGCTAATAATTCAATTACCTATCAATTGCACTCACTTGAAGATTAATCGTCCATTAATTAATAGACAGGCCCAGTCCACTGACACCTCATTAATAAAACAGTAAGTATACTATTGTACATTACATATTCATTTGCACATAATTTATTATTATATATTTATAGAAAAACAGTTAAAGAAACAAAACCTACTGAGTCAATAATGGTAAAGTGATAATAATAATAATGATAAAGATACGATTTTAATGTATTTTTTGTAGGAAACTGATTTTGATAGAATTTGGTTAAAATTCAAATCTTTCTCATCATTATCCCGGCCTTTGTCCAGAGACATGACACCAGTCAGTACATGTACACATATGCAGTACGCTCTTATTGCCTTATTAGGAAACCGTCAATTTTATTGTGAAAATGTTTTACGTCTCACAATTGAAGACTGATGCAACCCCACCCACGCATGCAATTACGCCTCAGTCCTTATTTGGGTCATTCTACCAGTTCATGAAGAGTTTGTACTATACGAGTAATGTTGGGACAATAGCTACTCACGACTTCTTGAATAAATTACAAGAAATATATAAAGAAAATATAGTAAGATATAATACTATTATTCCTCTTAAATCTAGAGGGAGTTTAGGAGACTCTTGGTCCCCCATATTTGGTCTAGGTCTCCCAATCTCCCATTTTAGCTATATTGGTCTCCTAAAATTCTAGATTTAACAACGATCATTGTTTTTATCATTATATTTTTTCATTATAGGTGCTACATGTTTTCAGTCACGTTTTAGCTGGAAGCCTAGAGCCTGTTGTTTTCAGGTATTTCCTACTTCTTTCAGAATTTCTCTCTGCAGTAAACTGGAGGCAGCAACCTGATGCCTCTTCTAACGACAGCAGTACATTTATGGAGTGGTGTAAATGTGTTTACTCATTTATGGATGAGGAATCATTGGAGCAATACAGCATAGAGTTTACTGGTCACAGCTCAAACAATTGCAATACATTGACAATATTGAATTACATATTGTGGCTGATTATGAGAAACAAAGAACCATTGATAAATCAGGTAAGAGGGAGAGGGGGGGTGCTGAGAGAGCAGTAGGCTTGTAAATTTCACCTTTAAGTGTGCACCAAAAATTTGGTATTTTTACCTTTAAAATGTATGAAAATTTTCACCTAAAATTTGGTATTTTTTGCCTTAAAAATGTTTTTACATGTGTGGTTATCATTATTATTGTTATTATTAAATATAAAAAGACCTCATCTCTCCCTTTTATTTATTTATTTGTCTAAAGATGGAGACTCATCTATCAGAAGTGAAGACAGTACATTCTAATGGAATGAATGAAAATGAGTTTGCTGAGTTTTGTCTCTCGCTATTTCCAATACAATCCATTGACTTGTTGGCCATTAGACTATACAACCAGGCACTCTCTCAAACTAAAGGAAAAGATATACTACCTATTAATAGGCTAGCTTGTATCCTACAGAAATATGTACATGTACATGTACATGTACATGTAGATATGCATATTTGTCATTCAATGTATTTCTTGCAATTCAGTAATTAATGTATGTGTATGCAGTGTATGGCTAATGTACTATGAAAAACACTCATTCTTGTGTAGTGTAAGGAATACCTTATATATAAAGATTACTTTCCTTAATTATCATTATTGTAATATTACTATAGATATATCTAGTTACATTAGTTTGCTGCTTTCATTCACTGATATTAAAGATAAATTGAAATTAATAAATGAAATAGAAGGAGAAGACATCATCACAGAAATGGAAGAGACAAAAGGTGCAGAATATGAAATATTGAAGTTCTCTGATGTACAGCAACTGATCAGATCATGATGAATTATGTGTGTGTATTTACTGAAAGTGAATGCTAATAATAGTAATAATAAATTTAAACCAAAAAGTAACAACTATTAGTATTAGCAAGAGATATATAAACAATTATTGTGACGCGCGGGTATTATGTACACAAAACAAAAAAATAAGAACACTAATAATAATAATAATAATAACAATAATAATAATAACAATAATAATAAATAAATAATGCTACTAATTGATTGGCCTGTATGTTAATTTTAATTTTAGTTCGCCCTGTTGCTTGTCTCTATGCTTTCTGTGTGTCACAGGCAGCCAGCACTCGTGGGATCTCTCTTCTCCGTCTCCTTTTTTTAAAAACTCAAGATCGACATCCACAATGCCCATGTGGTCATCTTTCGATAAATCATCATGATCGTATATCTCAATCCAGAGTTTATCCTTCCCATCCCAAGAGAAGCTAAACATTTCATTGTAATGCGGATTCAGTGTCTTCTTTTTAATTGTGCTCTTACGCGACTGTAGGCCAACGGTTAGTTTGCAATAGGGATCACTGGATATGATGTCTTTAATGATGAGATTCTTTCCTTCAATCAGTTCCACTTCGATGATTCCAATATATTCGATCATGGCTGCATCGCGAAGAGACGGAGAAGGAGGCGAATGACGCGAAGACGAGCTTCCAATTCGTTTCATTCTTTTAGGAGGGTTAGGAGTCCTTCCTTCCTTCTTGTAAAACAGCTGCTCAATATATTTAGCCCTTATATACTTATCTCTTGTGTCGCGATCAGTCTCAGAGCCAAAAGGGACTTCAATCGTTTTTGGAACGGAATGTTCCAGCAGTGCATTCATTTCTTTATTTCCTCTTGCCTTCATGAAGTCAATCTGTTCCTTGGACCAGTTGTCTAAACTGCAACTTAAAACAAAGGAGTGCTCAACACCTAGTGATCTAAGGGGAAGAGAGAGAAAGGAGAGGAATACAAAGAAGCAGTTGATAAGGTCTGTATATTCTTTAATTTATAGATCTCTACCTATGCACTCCAGCACACTGGACGCATATGAAAACGCCCCAGTTTGTACTCGCCCAAGTGGGATTGGGCTCGGTGCAGTCAGCGCACTGGCTGTTCTCAGGATATTCTAACAATTCCTTGAGGCCCTGATCCATGAGTAACCCTCTCTCTGAAACACAAACAAAAACGTCTCCTCCAAAGTCCAAACACGCTTTGCTGGCTACTGGCAGGCCGCAATGATGATAGCTGCTGACCTAGCCCCGCCTATTTTAATTAATCCGTAGATCTACTCGTAACCACACCCGTAGATAAAATGGCGGCAGGCAACAAGCCAGTGAATAAAGTTGAGCAATCTCTTTTTGAAGAAGACGATGAGTTTGAAGAATTTCCAACTGAAGGTAATAACGCAAAAAATAATTTTAAATAAATATAAATGTTCTTTAGAATGGGGGGAAGATGAGGAGGAGAGAGCTGACAAGCAGTTGTGGGAAGATAATTGGGACGATGACAATGTTGAAGATAATTTTTCAGTTCAGCTCAGGTAATTAATGAATTAATATATTAGTGATTATATTGACTCTATGCGTGTGTCTCTGTGTGTGTACTTGTAGGGCAGAGTTAGAAAGACTGGGTCACAAAGTCATTGACAATACACAAGAACAAAAATAATAAAAAATTAATGATGTTGACATTAATTTTACTCTGAACATTATAAAATTAACTGTTGTTAATGTACATGTATAATGACTGATTGTTCCATTATAATCAATAGACAGTCACACTCCATGTCTCATCAAAGGTGAAGTATTTTTGAGTATTCACATATTAGACTTCATCTCCCAACGTTGCTTGTGTTCATATCTAGAGGAAATAATTACCTTAGAATAACTTTTAATTGCGGGTACTAAATTTTGCGATTTTGGCAGAAGGTACATTTTGCTGATATTAAAAATTGCGATTAAATAATTATTACTAATAGTTATATGGCATCATGATGTCATTATTAATAATTGCGTGTATTAATAATTGTGATTTTAAACCCAAACGCAAAATTCACAATTAATAGTACCCGCATTTAAAAGTAACCTTAAGGTATACTTACTCAAAGTAAATATTTTAAAATTCGTAAAAAAATCTAATTTTGATCGGAATCAACTCAAACTTTCTACACAACATAAGTACATGTATATGCATCAGAAAATGTAATAAAAATAGAGAATTCTCTCCTAGTCATTTTTGGTGAAATTTGGCCAAAGTCCCTGCACTATAGTACAGGGATTTTGGCTCAATTTTTGAGCAACTTTAAAAATTCATAAAAAATCTAGAATTGATTGGAATTAGCTCAAACTTGATACACAACATAAGAACATGTATATGTATCAGGAAAAAAAAATACAAAATAGAGAATTTTCTCTGAGCCATTTTTGGTGAAATTTGGCCAAAGTTTCTATACCTGATTTTTGAGCAACTTTAAAATGTGTACAGAAACAATTTCAATTGGAATAAGCTCAAACATGTATAATGTACATGTCTTACTTCCACTTCAGTTTATGTCTCTTTTGTTGTTTCTCTTCATTTTCTTTCTTCCTTCTCTCTTCCCCTTTGCAGCTGTCAACTGCAGTTACTATTTGATGTGAAAACTTTACAAAAAGGGATAAAGATAGTCTCTAACCATAACTATACCTTTCTTTTAGATATTTTATCACTTAACTCTACAGCACCTGCATAATCTCGTTTATCAAGGGCCGAATCTAATAAACGTTCTAATCCAGTCTATTAATTAATTAATGTGCCACTCCCCTTGTTAAAACTGACCTCATTTCTTCCCTCTACAATGTCACTCCCTCCTAATAATTGTGAACTTGTTTTTATGTGAGGTTTTATGTCAGACCATGTAATCTCACCACTGATTAATTATTTAATAATTGATTAATTATATTATCATTTGAAACCTCTTTATTTCCTCTGTAGCACTGTCTAATGTTTCAGACTTTTTTACTGTAAAATTAAATGTACACAAATAGTTAATATTAATCAATTACCAGTCTTTAATTTCATTTTTTTCGATGCCCTTTTTATCACTTCTTGAGATTTTCTTCTTTTCTTCAACTCTTGGAATCTCTTTTCAAAAAATAACAATAAATAATAACAAGTATCACTGAAAATTATTACAGTCCAGTAAGCTTCTGTTGTACGTTTGGTCTTGCCTTCTTTTGGAGGAGTAGGACAAGTTGATCCTGAACAAGAGGCCATTTTAAATTATAGGCGTGCCCGGATTGGGCGTGGTCCCTTAAAAAATTTTTGGTTTCCGGAATAAAAAGATGTTAAGAGAATTAATAATATTCGTTTTTCTTTCAATTCATTGTATAGTGGGCCAGAAAGGTAAGAGCTTTGTATTTACACCTCAAGGGGGCAAAGATTGCTTGTAATTTATAATTATTTTATTATAATATTCAGGTTGTGTTGGAGTTCTTACCCAAGGATTTGATGCTATCATTGAGCCACCATTGTGTTCCAGCAATAATAATAATAATAATAATAATAATAATAATAATAATAATAATAATAATACTAATAATATTAGTAATAATAATAGTTGTAATAATACTAATAATAATAATAATAATAATATATCTGTATCGTGGGTTCTATCTCACTGGAGCACTACGCTGCTATGCTATGGAAGTCCAAGTACATTTATTGTTTGTTGTTCTGTTGTTGTTCAGTATTGTTGTTTAGAGCATTATGGTTCAGTGAATAGCAATGGATCTCTGGTTATTTATGGAAGTGAAAATTATCAACTAGATTCATCATCAGTTACAGCATCAGTTTATGATAGGAATGTACTCTGCAACACGTCAGACTTTACTATTAAATTATTACGTAATTTAATTATATACACATTACACTATACATTTAACCTCTCTCTCACCTTCTTTTTCCTCTTTTCCTTTCCCTCTTTCTCTTTTTAGCACTCTATTCTTTTTCTGGTCTTCGTGTTGAATATCCAGTACAAAAATCGAATAATTTTATTATCAAATTTGCAGGAGATCCTTTCGTCTTGTGCTTAAGTGCAAACACCAAGGGTCTTTCCACTAATAATCGATCAACATATTGGATTAGATCAAGGGATGAGCAGAAAATATATCACGAATCACTAAGTATCACAAACTGTACAAACTGCTCTTGTTTCATCAATGAGCTGAAGATGACAAAAGGAGAAAAGAGGATTCAATCCTTTCTTGCATTATATAGAACTGATCCTTGTTATGTAGTACCTAACAAGTTAATCAGTATATTATATATATCTACGACACAGTCAACAGATAACAATAGTGAATTTTCATTTCGCTATACTAACATGCATGGATTTAGACTGCCTTTAGCAAGTGAAGGACATTTGTTCACATTATCTGTTAGAGGTCAGTTACATGTACATATAGTCCAGTGTGTGTATGGAGGCTTGTGTAAGTAATGTAATACCTGAGGACTGAGATATCTGATTGAGGTGAAGCTGAGGGCAGATATCAAGGGACTTATAGGTATTAGATTACTGATACTACATATAACATGTATTACATAGTACATATTTCATTATTATAGGTTATCTAATGATTGATCCATTGATTAGTGTATCACCAGTAAATCTTACTTTATCATATGAAGATACCAATGGCTCTGTATTGTGTAATGGAACCACTAGTGTTGGAGAGATATTGGAATGGAAGAGTGCTGATGATATCGAAACAGTGAAATGGTGTGTGACTAATGAGTCTTGCAATTGTAAAGGAAATGAATCTGGTACTTATCAAACGTTAATTAACAAGCAAATCATCCCACTGTCATCAAGTAACAGTTCAAGTGTACTTCATACATTAGTTAAATTAATCATTTGCAAATCAACAGCTAATTACGCTTTTAAAAGATATTACTGTACTGTCCTAAATGGATCTACTCATGAATCAGTACTGGTATCATATACTGATAGACCTACTGAAGAAACTCCCTCCTCCTCTTTGCCCCCAAACCAGCCAACCAGTACTACTGTCCTGTATGTTTTATTAACTGTCAGTATACTACTATCACTCCTGACATTGTTTATCTGTATTGTCATTGTCTGCATCTTCTGCTTAAAAAAGAGGACAAAACAAGAAGAAATGGTCCAAGTGTTACGTGGTAGAGTTAGTCTCTGTTCACCAACCCTGTACATGAAGCAGCAATCAATATTGCATGCTGATCCCTTGGAGTTTCCTAGAGAAATGCTTCATTTTCAAAATACTATTGGTAAGCTGTAAATTTTTACTAGTTTACTTGTTTTTTGTAGGTGAAGGCCAGTTTGGTCAAGTGTGGAAAGCTCAGGCAGTTGGTATAGTACCCGAAGATCCTTCACTGAATATTGTTGCTGTTAAAACATTAAAAGGTATTATCATTAACATGCATATATACTTCAATTTACCAATTCATCAAAAGGTGATGCTGATTTTATTGATAAAGAGGAATTATTGGCAGAACTTGAAATCATGAAGAACTTGTATCCACATCCAAACATACTCAATCTACTTGGATATTGCACTGGTAATATAGCAAGTATTATTAATCTCATGTAATTTATTGCCTTGTGGTATAGTTGGTGGCCCTTGCTATATAATAATGGAATTTGCAATGTATGGGAACTTAAGAGACTTTCTACGTTCTTTAAAGAATGTTCACTCATCTTCTCAAGCCATCTTTGCTCCTTTTCAGTCATCAAGTAATCATCCCATGGCTTTAAATGAAGGACAAACTGTTGATCCATGGTCACTGTACAATAACATACCAATCCATTATAATACAGTACTGAAACAACATTTGATCAATACAGATTACTACAACCAACACAATAATGGAATTGAAGATACTCAATTGATCAATGCTGATACTCAAATGATCAATGCTGATACTCAAATAGTCAACGCTGATACTCAAATGATCGATGTTGATACTCAAATGATTCATGTTGATACTCAAATGTCTAATACTGATATTGAAATGATTGATGCTGATACTCACATGATAAATCACCCTTTGTTAACGGAGAAGGATATTTTTAATTTCTCTTTGCAAATATCACGAGGAATGGAACATTTACAATCTCAAAAAGTATACATTTTATTTTAAGTATTATTGTCATTGCTATTTTCATTTAGTGCATTCACAGAGATCTTGCAGCTAGGAATGTGCTAATAGCTGAAGGACAGATACTGAAAATAGCTGATTTTGGGCTAGCAAAAGAATTGTCAAGCAAAGATTACTACAGAAGACTATCATCAGTAATTATACATACATCAGCTATATATTAATATATACTGTATACAATATACTGCTTTTTAGGGCAAACTACCAGCAAGATGGATGGCTGTAGAGTCATTAGATGATAGACAAACACATTCACACCAATCTGACATGTAAATTTAATAGAATATAAAAAACTATCTTATATATTTATTATCCATTATATACACAGATGGTCATTTGGTGTTGTGCTATGGGAAATATGCAGCTATGGTGAGTAACAATATAATATGCATGCTTATTATAATAATTTTGAAGGCGACACACCTTATAAAGATCACGGAATTGGGAATACTTTGGAGTCACTTTTACTATTTATTAAAAATGGAGATAGACTGAAGAGACCGGAAAACTGCAGCACAGACATGTAAGTGCATTAGATTATCCTTATAATTTATTATTATTATTATTATTATTATTATTAGGTATCAGTTAATGCTTCAGTGCTGGAATGATGACCCAAAATTACGTCCAAATTTTAATGAATTAGTACACAAATTTGATAAACTCCTCTCATTAGCACATGTTAGCAATTTGTTGTTTATTGTTGTTTATTGTTGTTGTTTGTTGTAGGGATATCTACAAATGACAAGTGAAAACTGAGAAACAACCAATCAATCTTTAAAATAATTATTATAAAAATTTTAGCGGTATGATCTACTGCGCATGCGTGAATATGAAGAACTCCATTCCGTATATCGAGTCCTATATAATTCTAATTGTACGGATTATTTCTTGTGAAATTTTGAAACACTAAATTGAGTAAATTCTAACTCCCTTCCTTTTTGTTTTTTTCCCCGTCGTTTCAGTAATGGAAAGGAGCGGTCCCTTTAGCAAGAAGATATTTATACAGCGAGACTACAGCTACGGGACTGCAGTGAGATTTTCTAGCGAATTTCCACAAGAACTAAGAGGAAAGGTAAAGGAAGTGTTAACAGTTATGTAACACCTATTAATAAATGACATTAATTATTATTTATTACTTTGTAAGATTGGTGAGAGAGAGTTTCAAGAGACGATCGATGAAATAAACGTTATATTTGAGGAGGCAGAGGCGTACAATTGCCAGAGATATGGCGAGGGCTGTCTTGCCTGTTTGACCGGATACACTATTCATTTCTGTTTTAAAACACATTATCAGAAAGTAAGTAAGAGGGAAGGTTAGGTAGGAGTGAGGCTTACGATTACGATTGCATATTACCATGATATTACCATAATAGCTCCAAATTTTCATCAGTCAAAAGTTTTGTCAGGCATTTTTTGTTTGACGGAATTTTTGTCCAGACAGGTGACATGTGGATTTATAACAAAAATCCTATTCACAAAAAATTAGTTTTAACAAGAATTAAGATTTTGATGAAATTTTGAGTGATGAAAATTTGGAGCTACATGTATATACGGTACTCCCATAGATATTAGAGTAAATGAAATTAATTCATTTACTCTATTATCAATGGTACTCCTCTTTCTCTGTTGCTCCTCCCCCTCCTTATTAGTGCACTGAAAGAGCTGCTAGATACATTCAAGAGAGAAATTATCACATTTTTGAGAGACATGGAGTGTTAATGGGTGATCCAATGGATAGGGGACTCAGATGTGTATCCTTTTATACTAATAAAGCAATTAAGTATAATACACGTATACTTATAGTTACATATAATACTATATATATAGTACAGGGATTTTGGCCTGATTTTGGAGCAACTTTAAAAATTCATAAAAAATCTAATTTTGATTGGAATCAACTCAAACTTTCTACACAACATAAGTACATGTATATGCATCAGAAAATGTAATAAAAATAGAGAATTCTCTCCTAGTCATTTTTGGCAAAATTTAGCCATTGACCCTGTACTATAGTACAGGGACTTTGGCCCGATTTTGGAGCAACTTTAAAAATTCGTAAAAAATCTAATTTTGATTGGAATTAACTCAAACTTTCTACACAACATAAGTACATGTATATGCATCAGAAAATGTAATAAAAATAGAGAATTCTCTCCTAGTCATTTTTGGCAAAATTTAGCCAATGGTACTATAGTGTTACAGGGACTTTGGTCTGATTTTGGAGCAACTTTAAAAATTCGTAAAAAATCTAATTTTGATTGGAATTAACTCAAACTTTCTACACAACATAAGTACATGTATATGCATCAGAAAATGTAATAAAAATAGAGAATTCTCTCCTAGTCATTTTTGACGAAATTTGGCCAATGACCCTGTACTATAGTACAGGGACTTTGGCCCAATTTTAGAGCAACTTTAAAAATTCGTAAAAAATCTAATTTTGATCGGAATCAACTCAAACTTTTGACACAACATAAGCACATGTATATGCATCAGAAAATGTAATAGGAATGGCAAATTCTCTTTTAATTTTCTGGCAAAATTTGGCCAAAGAACCTTTACTATTATAGTACATTCACTTCAGCTCAATTTTGGAGCAACTTTAAAAATTTGTAAAAAATCTAATTTTGATTGAAATCAACTCAAATTTGTATATGCATCAGAAAATGTCAGTTTATATCCTTAACATTAGAATGTTGTAGATTGAAGTTAACATAACATATGATGGTGATCAATGAACTACCTCCTTTTCTCTCTCTCTTTGTTCCTGTCACCTTTATGTCTGTTTTTCATGTTTTGCTATTCTCATTAATTTTATTAATTTTGTTTTAATCTCATTATAATGTCTGTCATGTTTATTGCTTGCTAACAAATAACACATACAGTTTACACACACGCACACACACATTCAATTTTCAAGACACAAAGTCTATAGAAATGGTCATAATAATCATATCAACTTCAGATCTAGTGTGTCCACGGGCCACATACAAGGACATCAATAGATAGAGAATTAACAGAGCTAGTTCTCACTTAGTATGTTGTGTGTGTCTCTTTTATTAAAATATCGAGTACATTACGTCATTTCTTGCTAACACCCTGTATTAAAGTGTGTGTGTGTGTGTACATGTGTGTGTACTTGTGTGTGTCATTGGCAAGGGATCACTGCTATGTCAGTTATGTCTTTGTTTAATAACATTCCAAATATTTCAAATAATTTTAACTTAACAAGAGAAGTTAGCACACTACAGTAGAGTAGACCAGGTGGATTAAGAGAGAGAAAGGATTCTAATATCACAAAGACAACAATGATAAGACAGTTTGTATAATTATGTATGAAGAGTCATAGTTGATATAATCATATTAATAATAATAATAATAATGGCATTTGTGTCAATAAAGGAAGAGAATAGAGTGTTGCAGTGTTAAAGGACAGTCTCTGTTGGTGGAGTGTATTGAGAGAAAGCAGCTCCACTTCTTTTGTTATTAAAAGTAGCTCCTCCAGTGTTATCCAGTAATCCATCGTTGCTTGAAGAGTAGTATTTACTTCCAGAGCTGCTCTTTGGTATGACAAAGTTACTCGAGTCCTTCCATATCTTGAGATCGAGGATAGCCTGTCTGAAAGCTGCAGACCAAGCTTCTCTCTCTTCCTTGCTCTCAAAGGAGAAGTAATACTCATCATCTCTTTCGTGATCTTTGACAAGCAGGGTATTAAGTCGTCTCATTACTAGTCTAGGAGCATTCTCAACTGTCATATCCTAATAATAATAATAATAAATAATAATAATTCATTTTAATTGACTATTTACTGACAGAATAGCTACATTTTAATCATGCAGCCAATCTCCATGGTAATGCTAACAGCAACTGACAATAAAAAATATTTAAATTATAAAGTGACAGATATTTGAGGAGGTGGGTGTGCTTCGACACAGACTAAATATAATACACACACCATGTACTGTAGCTAATGGAGCAGGAGAGATGCAATGTAAACTAATGATACACACCTAAAAACAGGATTGGCACATATACACTGTACATGTACCTACACAATGCATTTATAGCCTAAACTAAGGAGACCTAGACTATACATTACACTATCGGATGCATGTACATGTACATGTGATGCATGTATCTTACTTTGGTGAGGTTGATGGTACTGACTGGCATTTTCCTTCCCACGTCTTCAGGGTAGGTCCAGCACCTCAAGTGGTGCTGTCTCAACACACACCACTGCCTTAACCAAGCTGGATAACCTGAGACCATTTGCTATAAGAGAAATAGAGAGAGAGAGCTATCAATCAATAGCTATTATACTATACAGGACTGTGTTAGAAAATGGCATAAAATATAAATAAAGAGGTTCAAGTGTATATACATATTAAAGTGCATGAACTGTCTGCTCTGTTAATTCTTATTTCTTACTTGTATGTTAATGAATCCAGTGGCCCGAGGTTGTGTAGCACAAGTTGGTTCAGCCATTATAGAGCAACAGATCTGACCCCAGAGAGGCAGCAAAATATGATCACCTAAAACAAGCAATGATAATAAAAAACCTGTACACAATAGCTAGTATAATATATCTGTCTATATATCTCTTAACAACAACATATACACACATTAGATGCTAAATCTACATGGATATATCTATCTTTTCTTACCAGCTAGTAACAGGCAGAGTAGTGTCCCCACAGTAAAAGACTAACTAACTAACTAATAATAGTATTGCTGAGGCTTTTATACTTAAGGCACATACAGGAAGTGATTAATTAATATTAAAGTTAACTAACTGATTTCAATATCCTCTGATGCAATGTTGGCATTCAAGGAATGCAATTAAATAAATTAATAAGAATTTATATAGAGACATGTCATGACTTACATCAACAAATTAAAATTAATAACAAATTAAAATGCACTCACTACCTTCCTTAAATAAATAAAACAAACAAATAAATAAATAAAAACATTACATTATACTTACCAGTAGATGAAGAAGTACCACTGGATCCTACAGCTCCAACTGTCAGTTTATAAGTGCGACATGTTCCTATTTTAAAATTTATAAAAGCTATGAACCTTATTCATACAAGAATTAGATAAACAGCAACTGGTAGACAACGTGTGTGTGAATTCTTATAATGACAACACGATGTTATTTGGTCTCTACAAGGTATTACACTGAAGTACTAATCAACTTTATAATGTCTACTCTTCCTTTAGGATAGTAAACAGAATTACACCCAATACCCTCTACCTCATATACACACATGCATGTACATATATGTACATGTACTTATAGTGTGTAGGTGAGTGTGTACCAATCAATATCTATTGATGTGTGGATGTTGCGTCTATACATGTACATGTACACACATATATGTACATGTATATATCTCCATGACATGTACATTAGCTAATATTGTGAGAAAAATGACACATATAAATAAACAAACATCAAAAACACAAAGAACAATTATTTATCATAAAACTATTCTTCTCACGGCCCTGTATGTACATGTAGATCCTCCTGCCCCACCCTTTTCCTTACCCATTACATCGTCTAGCGTGAACTGAGAGTGTCCAGCGATAGTGAATGAGTGGGTGGGGTTGGCTGATTGTACTGAAGGGACATAAGGAGAGAGGGATAGGGTTGACGTTGATAACGGAGAGGACAAATGATCATAGGAGAGGTCCTAGTATTAATAATAATAATACACAACGAAATGTAAGACATAAAAATATTAGTGAAGAAGAAGAGCATTTAAATATTACACATTCACAAAGACAAGTAAAATGAAAAAAAATTATTCATTTATTTATTTATTATTAATGTCGTACTCTTTTTATTTTCTTCAGCACTTTGAGTGGAGTGGAGTCCTTACGAGAGGGTGTTCCTGACATGCTCCCTAAGCTAGTACCGGTATCAGTTTGGTTTGGTACTGAAGTATAGAGTTCAACTATCAGCTTGAAGTCATGCTCCACTTTATTAGGACTATAAGAGAAAGGATGAAAGTATTTTACTACCTTACTTCATTATTTTAATTAAAAGAACCTTTTTACGTGTTTTTAATTTTAGAATTTAAAAATTTACAGATTAGCTACTGTTATAGCTAAGATAAAAAAGAAACAAATTTTAGATTTTATTTTTTTCATGTAAAATTAAAGTCACCTTAAAATATCCCACATTTACAAAATTTATACATTAACAATTAAACAATTTAACGTGGATAAACATGCACATGTGTGAGTGGAATTACAAGAATCTTAATTGAAACTGACTTCATGTATTCACCAAATAAGTTAATGGTGACACAGATGTATATTACATTAACAATACATTCCAATCAATAATGCCAACATTCCTCCCCATTATAAACACCTGTAAAACTATTGAGCCAACAGCCAGTATAATATATGTAGTACATAGCTGTAGGCTCAATAGTTTTACAGGTGTTTATGCCTAATTTAATCTTTATGGTAACCACACAGCATATTATGTTTGACAGACTGACTGTCTGTTATACAAGACAAAATACTATTGTTATTATTCATTAATATTTGTTGTTCAAAAGGTGAATGCGTGTAGTCAAACAATGGAGGGGCTTTATATGAATAACCTGATAACAATATGTGAACAATTGCCAGCATGCTTCATACTTGTAATGTGCAGTAGTAAGCTATTTTATACTGCACCAAATAATCCCCTTCATAAAAGGGTAATGATAATAATGACAAAATAAAGGACATTTTTTATTAATAATAATATTGTCATTGTTGCTTATTTGCTTGTTTACTTACAAGATTATAAAATCAGGAAATGCTATGTCGACCATAGACCTGTCAACCTCAATTAAAGTGGGCGTGTCTATCACCTGGTTACCAAGACGAAAAAGACAAAAAACTCCAACCTTGTAATTAGAATCTTCAATGCATAAAAAAAGAAATTAAAAAAAATAATAATAGCAATACAACACCAATTACCTAACCCACATGTATACTTAATCATGACTCAAGTAAAATATGATACACGGATTAATATTTAAATTCCAGGTACATCTTATTCCATTAAATAAGAGGCTACACCTTGAGAAGGAATCCATTGCTATTCAATACCCCACAGGTGGGATGAGAGGGTACACGTAGGCCACATGTAATGCAATATTATTAATAAAAGAATTTGAATTATTAGCTCACTTCAGTGTCATATAAACAATTAGAGAGAGAGAGAGAGGGAGGGAGGTGAAAATAATGGCTACACTGTACACATATATTTCTTTCTTTGTCTATATAATCTAGCTCTTACCAATTTTTCCTTTTGAAGATTCAAAATCTTTCCATTGGAGAGGGATCCTAATGTCTAAACAAACAAACAAACAAACAAACAAACAAACAAATAAACAAGTAAGGGTGAGAGATGTGTGTACCTGATACTGCTAGTTTAGCTAGACAGGGTTTGTCAACATTGCCAACATTATCACTACATAAATAAATAAATAAATAAACAATAAATGTAATAAAGACCTGATTGTATATACAAGAGCATGCATAATTAATTCAAATATTTTAATCAAGCACTCTCCCACAGTATAAATAGTTATTGTATGTACATGCACATACATTTCAATGTCCTTGTGTCCTTGTTTAACTTGCTGTAACTGCTTGAGGAGAGAGAGTGTCTTCATGTTTGATACAAACAAACTCTTTGATAATTCAATATTCTGTCTGACACTTTTGGACAAAGTAAGCATCTTAGAAGCACCATCCCTGATCATCCTCTCCTTTTCAATGGCCTCCTCTAGCAGAGATATTTCAAGGGACTCTTTTGACAACTAGTTAATATAAGTATATGCATTAGGGTTTGAATGGAGAATTCTATCATAGTCGTTTTTGGCCAAAGACAAGTACAACTGTACATCGTCTTTGACCAAGCCACTCATGCAAATTCTAATATTCTCATGCTACATTGTGTATGTAGAAAGTTTGAGATGTTTCTAACAAATATTTTTCGATTTATGGCCAGTTAAAAAATTAGCCAACTTTTGAAAAAAAAAGCAAAGGCTATACTATATCCCAACTGAGTTTGACACCAGCCGCTTGGAATTTGAAAAATGTAGGCAACGTCACTAATGACGTCTTATAATGATATTCATAGAAGCATGGCCGACATTTTACAGCTGCGATATAGGCCTGTGTTTCACTCTTAAATGGGCTTTGTTTGTTCTGATAAGCAGTACAATAGCTGCTGGAGTCAACTAGTCTTCATAAAGCCCATCATTATCAGAAGATCTAGCTCTGTTAGCTTTTTAAAGCAAGAATTATCAGTTTGGGCGCTCGACCACATGTTCTTATGTAAACTATGACATAGGATAAATTGTCATAAAACGTCATTTTGGTATGCCATTGGGTTTATTGGGTTTATAGGGAGAACCCGGTTCTCAGGGTTCCCAAGGGCTGAGAGACCCAAGACCTGAGATCCTGTGATGGCATTGGGCGACTAAGAGCCTGTGATGGCATTGGGCGACTAAGAGCCTGTGAAAGTTTCATCCTTATCCCACATTCCTATAAAAAGTTATTCCAGTTTTTCTTGGGTCAAACTCAGTTGGGATATAGTATATATATAGCCCATGGTTTTTTCCAAAAAATGGCTCCGAAATCACCCCAAATTTTTATTACATTTTCTGATACATATTGATGTCTTGATGCTGTGTAGAAAGTTTGAGCTGATTCCGAGTTCAATTTTTCAAGTTACAGCCATTTTAAGAAAACGCCAAAATTCTAAAAAATACCCAAGGCTATAGCCCATGTTTTTTTCTAAAAAATGGCTCCGAAATCATCCCAAATTTTTATTACATTTTCTGATACATATTGATGTCTTTATGCTGTGTAGAAAGTTTGAGCTGATTCTGAGTTCAATTTTTCAAGTTACAGCCATTTTAAGAAAACGCCAAAATTCTGAAAAATACCCAAGGCTATAGCCCATGGTTTTTTCCAAAAATGGCTCCGAAATCACCCCAAATTTTTATTACGTTTTCTGATACACATTGATGTCCTTATGTTGTGTAGAAAGTTTGAGCTAATTCCGACAGACATTTTTCAAGTTATGGCCATTACATTTTCTGATACACATTGATGTACTTATGCTGTGTTAAAAGCTAATTATACAATTCTGACAAATAATTTTCAAGTTATGAGCATTTTAAAAACAAGCCAACTAAAATCCCATATTTATATTCAATATAACTAACAGTACATAATACAGTGCCTCCAGTATATAATCCAATATTCATACTTTATGCTTCTTCAATGATTCATTTTCTTTATTATCCTCATACTGCACGGTTGCCTCAGAAGGAGAGGGCATCGGGTCTCCACTGCCGACCTTTCTCTTTAAACCAACCAGCGAACTAACCACAGGAAGGTCAGGATATAGCTTGGACTCATCTCCAGAAGACTCCATAATTTTAAAAGAAATTCAAAGAGAATAGGTTTGTCAGTAATGATGGCGCCCTTCTTGAAATAATCACGTGAGTTAACGAGGTCACATGACATGTGTCAATTAGATCTATTAATAAATTTTATAAGTAGCCACGCCCTCTCATTATAGTTTCTTCTGATCTGTAAGTAAACAATGATGATGGCAGAAGAAGAGGAGTCCATAACTACTGGTACTAATGGGGTCTGTTTGAAAGAGACAGGAACTGGCAATGGAGGATCAAATGGTTTAGTGAATAATGGAGGGACTGTTAATGACCCTGGAGTGGAACAAGAAGCTGATAAAGAGGAAGGAGGGACTGTATCTTATGAAATGTATAAAACCGTTTTAGACGAAAGGGATCAGTTATCACTTACTTTAAAAGATATAAAGCAACAGGTAAACAATTAATGTATCCATAAACCTTACCTCTCCCTCCTCTCTCTTTAGGAAGATTCCTTTCAAGCAATTGCAAAGAGAGTGAGTATTTAAAATGTGAACGTTGAGGTGAACGTCTAACTTCTCTCCCTCCCCCTCTCTTTCTCCTCCAGTTAGAGGTAAAGTGTCTATCCCAACAAGAAGAAATGGAGGAATTAGAAGAAAGGCTTCAAAAAGAAAAGAATACAACCACATCATTACAAGAAGAACTGAATAAAAAAATAACAGAAGTGAGTATGATAGTTAAGTAATTGATTAACGAATTAATTTTAGTTATCTCAAGCAATTAAAAATGAAGAAACAGTCATGGACAGACTGTCTTCTCTTGATCAGGAAAGAATGAAATTATTGGATGAGCAAGTGACCTTGGAGAGAAAGACAAAGGAATTGAATAGAGTAATAAACAATAACAATTAATGATAATGTTATTGTAAATTTTTGTGATTTAGGAATTGGAGAAGGCACAAGCAGTTGTTAAAAATCAAAAAGTGGAATTAACTAAATTGAAAACAGCAAACGACAAACAAGTAAATACATAAAATACACAAAATACACATTTTTATTTCACATAACTACCTCATCAACACATCTAATTAATTAATTAACCTTTGTTATTAACTTTAAGGAAACGTCATTATCTGAAACAACACGTGAACTGTCAAAGTTAAAAGAAGAAACGTCTTCCTTGAGCATCAAATTAAAATGGGCACAGAACAAACTAAAGACTGAAACAGAAGGACACAAAGTAAGAGAACCACTCCAATGATGTCTACCTTCCTTTTCCCTCCCTCCCAAAGGATACTAAATCACAATTAGCAGCAACAGCAAAGAAGCTTAAGCAAACAAAGGAAGAGAGTGATCAGATTCGTTCCGATCTTAAAAAGATGATCTCCGAGTATCAGGAATCGGAAGAAATGAGATCAAATTCACTCGACGTCAAATTAAAGAAAACGGAAGAGGAGCTGAGACAGCAGGAGCAAGAGATCGCTGACCAACAGCAGCTTCTTGAGTTAACAGTTAAAGATCTTGAGATTAACCAGGCCTCACTAGAAATAGCTAACAAAGAAATACAGCAACTGAAAAATAAAGTGATCCATTTTGAAAACACACTTGGTATTTATTAATTGGTGCTGTACATGTAGGTGTCAGAATTGATAAATCAGATGACAGAGAAGCAGGAAGAGTTGGACAGAATGAAAGTTGAGAATGCGCGAGAGAAAAAAGAGCAGCAAAAACTATTGAATGAAAAAACTGCTATACAAGACATGAACAAAGATATTGAGAAGTATGTACATGTACATGAAAATATATACATTTACGTACAGTACATGTACTATGAATAATTATTATTTTTTAATTTTGAATATTTTATTTTTTTTAGGGAGCGATTGGACTATGCTGCACTAAAGGAAAGCCACACCCACTTACAAAAAACAGCTCAGCATCTTGAGAGGGAGGTTAGCAGACGGAAGGACAAAGAGGCGGAGCTTTTGACGTTTTCGGACAAAATGTCGTCACTAAATGCTGAGCTGAGAACTGAGAGAGATTCACTAGAGCAATCAGTGATACAACTGGAGAATAAATTAAAGAAAGAAGTTGATAATAATGAAATGATTGAAGGGAAGCTTAAAGAAATGGTAAAATATAACTTAATATTATTATTATTATTATTATTATTATTAATAGGCTGATAAGTTACAGTTGGTTGAGAGATCCAGTCATAAAGAGATAAATTCATTAATGCAAGCACTACAAGACAAATCAAAAGCTGGTGAGAAAAATATTTTACATGTACAGTATAGCCTCTTTTAATGGACACTCTCTATAGTGTACACCTCCATTTAAGGGACAGCACTTAGTATACCAATTACATTCCTTACTGTATAAAATAACCTCCACATAAAGGACACCTCTGTATAACAGAGCAACTGTCTTGTATTAAAGTGTCCATTATACATGTATAGAGGCTAGTCTGTACATGTATAACTGTATGTACATGTACTGTACCAATGTCTGTTTCTTACAGTTGAGCAGTTGTCAGTATCGCTGGAGGAAGAGAGAGAACAGATGGTGGCCATTAAGAGAAAACACTTGAACAATATCAAAGACATGCAAAGACAAATACAACTCTACTCAAAGTACAGTATAATAATAATAATTATTATTTTATTTATTTATTATTATTATTATTATTAATAGGCGTATTGAACAGTTGGAGGCTAGCACACAATCAGATGTAGCGACACTGCCTGTGACATCATCAGGTCACATGACTTCTGGTCACATGATGAGGTCTGCCCACTCCCATGGATCACTAGATGGATCACTTAACAATATCCCATTAACAAACCAAACCCACTCAACGTCGTTAACACCTAACAACAGAATGTCACCTGACGTAAGTACATGTACAATAGTTGCAGTTTGTTCTATTTTTAGAACAACGAATATATATTACTATTTGTTCTATTTTTAGAATTTTATTCCTTCCCCTCAATTACAGTCCAGCTCACCATCCCACATGCACACTGTACAAGGTGGGGGCGTGAGCACAGGAGGGGGCGTGGCTGCAGGTATAGGACTGTTTCAAACGTTGGATCATGAGAAGACAGTCCTGGTTGATAAGTTGTGCCAAATGAAGCGACAGCTAGCAAAGAAAGAAGAAAAAATTGAATTTTATGAAGGACACGTCCAGCAATTAACAGAAGACATCAAATCAAAATCAAGGTAATTAATTACCGTATATACTGGTTTATTTTCGCGGGGGAATATTCTCACGAATTTCACAGTTTCTTGCTCAGTCACAAAATTTTCCACCACAAAATCCTGCATTTCCACCATTGCCACGTGGTGCAGTCTGCAGGCTATTCGCGAAAATTAATCCCGCGAAATCTTAGAAATGAAAGATTCACGAAAATTTTCTACCGCAAAAATAAATCAGTATACGGCATTTTAATATAATCATTAATTATTATTATTAGATTGATACAGCATTTCATAATGAGAGAGGAAGCTGGTGCTCTCATTCCGCCAGAAGCTGACGCCAATAAAGAGCAATTATCGAGAAGGAGTTCTTCTAGTATAATGGGTACCGTGTTTAAAGGGGGCGGAGTTGGGGGTGGAGCCAGTCATAAACAGGCTGAGATGAGTCTAGAACTATCTTTAGAAATCAATAGAAAGATGCAGGCAGTACTTGAGGACACCATACTGAAGAATATAACATTAAAAGTAATTTAACAGTAATAGTGATGATGATTATGTATAGTGGACCATTCGTCTTTGATGAGAAAAGTACCACATTACACATGTATGTTAAAATTGTCCCCCAGTTAAACTCAATTTTAGGGGCAATTTTACACCTCAATTTTTTACTTCATTTAACGCTTAAACTGCCGAGCATATAATCTCTTGTCTTAGTACAATACAATAAACAAATAACACTGGATTATTTATTATTTATTTAATAGGAAAGTTTGAATACTTTGGGCCAAGAGGTAGCCAGACTCTCAGCTCAAATACCAAAGAACACTTCAACTTCTAATAGATAATCACATTAATTAATAAACAATCATTGTTATTTTTTATCAATCTTCATGAAGACACCACTACATTGTAACATTATTATTATTATACAATTTTTGCTTATTATTATTATTGATTCCGTCATTTTGTATCATCATTTAATAATTATCATTAATTATTTAATAATTAATTTAAAATAATTAATAAATCTACTCTCATAAAACAATAACACATACAGTACATTGACTACATACACATGTACATTGTACACACGACACAAAATGTCTACTTTTAAAGGACATGACAATCATATCATTAATAATGTTCGATAAATAACAAATAAAATAAAATAAATAAAATAGATTTGATCGATTTTAAACTTCTAATGGATTCTCGCTAAAGTCAATATTACTAAAAAGAGGAGGAGGGAGGGTAGAGATAGAAAAAGTGGGAGGATTATAATGAATACAATTAAAACTGGCTAGTAAACAACCAATGTAATACAATACTCATGCATTGCTATGGTAACTCACATGTCACACAGTGCTGCGTCTTCGCTAGTAAACTGGTTACTGGTCGCTGGTACAGTGGAGGCACTGGGTGGGTCCCAGCGATGTAGGCTCTTCCGCCATAGTCTGTACTGTCCTTGCCATGCTCTGGTACTGCATTTCTTGTACTTGTCAGGAGTCCATGGGTCAGAATGTCTCCGGCTAGCTCTTTAGAGAGAGAGAGAAAGGGGATAGAGAGAGAGAGAGAGAATAATGTACATGTACAGACTAGCCAATGGCAATTGAGTACAAAACAGTTGCACATGTTCAGTATAGCCTCTATATAATGGACACTTCAGTACAAAACAGTTACTATTATACAGAGGTGTCCTTTATGTGGAGGCTATTTTATACATTAAGGAATGTAATTGGTACACTAGGTACTGTCTGTTAAAATAATGGAGGTGTACGCTATAAAGTGACTTACTTTGGTAGTGTTGCTATGTAGCTTTCATATCCGATCGTGTTCTTTCCCATTTCAATTTGTTTCTGTCTTTGAGCTAGTCTGTGACCATCGGTGAGTATGTCTTCATTACCTTTCGTATGCCAGGGTGGACTATTGGTCCTATAAATACAAAAATAACAATAACAATAACGTCATTATAATGATAAATAATAATAATAAATAACAGTAGTCCTTACTTGTCTGCGAGGACTCTCCCCCCAAACAGTCTCCTCTGTACTCCCATCCTTCCTCCGGTTCCTCTCTCTCCCTCTGGGGTACACATCTCAACATCCATTCCTTCCTCTGCTGGAGGTAGGCTAGTTAAAGATGGCGGGACAATAGGAGGGGCAGGAGTGATAGTAAGATCCCGTATAGGGTGTCTCTTCTTGGGTATTTCAATAGGAGACAATCCAACCCTCTCTCCCATCCTCCTCTTGCCAGAGCTACGAGCAGCTCGAGCGTAAGAGGCCGATGGTACTCGAAATGATCCGTTCATGTTGCTACGACAACTATTGGGCGTGGTCAACAGGCCTGGAGATGAAGCGTTGATTATAGAAGTACTCATGTTCTCTTTATTAGCGGAGGAGGAGGAGGGAGGGAAGAATACCTGTCCCTCTAGAGCCGATTTAGGTGTTGACTGGGGAGGTTGTTGTTCGTTAGGAGTGGAGTGAGTTAATGGTGTGGTGGATACTGGAGTTTGAGGAGGAGGAGGAGCTGAGAATGAACTGTTGGCTAATTGCTGTTTGATCTCTATTGACTTGTTCCTAATATAAAAAATAAATGAATAAAATAAAAAGTCCTTTATTCCTTACATAAGTTGTTCCAGTGCCTCCTGGTTTCCTGATAGTTCAGCATCAGAGATGTCTACCCAGTCAATGTGCTCAAACTTTAGATCCCAACCGTCACCGTCCGCCATTGTTGACCTGAAGACCTACTAGCAAGAATAAAGATATATGTCTTAGTAATAGAGGCATACCAGTAACAGACAGAAAGAGAGAGAGACAGAGATGAGATACTGGTATCACTGGACTTTTGTCACTTTTCCCGCGGGAGGAACTAATGGTTCGCGCCTTTTTAATGCGCATGCGCAGAACACTATTTTATTTATTAATGAGCTCGTCAATAAAATTTAATTATAAAGATGGCGTTCAATTCAAAACTCTAAATTTTTATCTCTCGATCTTCATTAATTGACATATGCTACTAGTGAGCCATGGATGATACATCAATAGAAGAGATTGACTGGTTTCCTTTGCCTGAAGTGGAATCAAGAGATCACGTGATCCCAGAAAGAGCCCCAGGCCCAACATGCTCATACAATGTGAATCCTAATCTTACTACTCCAATTAAAGCCCACCCACAGTTACCCAACCTCAGTGTACTATCCATCAATAGTTCTGCTCCTTCGAATATCAACGATCGCTCATCAGTTTCAACCACACCCACACAATTAGATCAACTTTGGACTAAATTTTTAGACCTATACGTTACAAAGCCACACCCTCTAATAACATGTAATAAAGACGAATGTACATGTACATGTCATCATGAAAATGAGGTCAGCAAACACCAAGAGAGACAGACAGAAACTATTTTTACAACACCTTCAAAACTCGAGCCATACCCATTACCAACTAGTCCTTCAACAACTGAAGCCACACCCCCAACAACACCACAGGCCAAACCAACTAAAGCCATGGAAAGGCTGACATTACAAGATGCTTGTCGTCACTTTAAAACCTCCTTTATCAAGAACTCACTCGCCAGACAAGAGGAGATAAAGAGAAAACCAAGAAATAAAATGTTAACGAGCACTTACCATACCCCTTCATTCATTCAAAGATTAAATAAAAGTAATTCTAAATAAACATGGTTTAACAATTTTCCCATTCTTTCGTCCTCTCTCTCTCTCTGAAGCCTCTGAAGTTACTGTTCCTAGACAGAAGATGACATACAAAGAGATGTACATGCACACTAAAAAGTAATAAACCCAAATTATCATTTGATATGTGATCAACTCAGTTTATGCATGAAATAAAACTGTGATAGAATAGAGAGAGGAGGAGAGAGAGGGATAGAATAGATGTAGAGAGAGAGGGAGGGCATATTGTATGATGTATGTGTTATCACACTAATAGTAAGTGGGACGTACTACCGGAAGTGATAGCTAAAAATAAAAAATCAGTAAAAGAGAAAGAAGCAGAAACTAACCGACTACGAGTTAAAATATACCAAAAAGTAACCAATAAATAGTCATTATTTATTAATTAATTTATTAAATTATTATTTCATTTTAGGAAGTGCTGGCAAGGATGAGAAGATTAAAAGAAAAATCCAAAAAAATGAAACAATATCTATAATATAATTAACAATTACATCATTATTACCAAAAATAGACACAGTATAATTATGAATCTTTAAATCCCAACAAATACCTACAAACAGCAAATGAATGACAATAATTTTTAATAATAAGACATGTATCTGATTGACTGCAATCAATTAATAATTACCGTATAGCGCAAAATTTTCAAGGGCTGTAAATTTTGCAAATTTGCCTAGAAATTTGCAAATTTTGAGTTCTATGAATTTATGCCGTCTGCCATCATGTACCATACTTTTGCGAAAGTAATTTTCGTGGATCTTAAAAAAAATCCCAAAATTCACAACCCTCCAAAATTTTGCCTATACAGTATTGAAAACCTAACCATTCTGATCTACTGGAGACTGCTTCCTTGCGTACCAGTCTCTTCTTGTCGTCAAGACAAGATCCCAATCCATCAATTACTTTGTTTTGATGCGTATACAACAAATGGGTAGATATTGACGAAACTGGGAACAAGCCAAGACACTTTAGAGCAGTTATTCTAACCTTCTACAAATAAATAAAATTTAACATAAATAAATAAATAAACAATAATAAAGATAGTTTGTGCTCTTTACCATAAAAGGAGATGCTTGCCCCAGGTGTAATAAAAGAGATATTATTGATGAGAGATGCTGTCCAATGACTTCAGGGCTCTCTTGAATTAATGAATGGATCGACTCGAGAGATGAGAGGAGGATATTAGTGACTGAGATATTGTCTTGCTCCTCTTGCTCCAGGTCCTGCCTCATTTGCAATGACTCCAAGAGAAGAGGAAGAAGCTACCAGAATAAGTAATAACCATTAATAATTATTCTTAATTTAGTGAAACTTTAAAAATTTGTAAAAAATCTGGTTTTCATTGGAATCAACTCAAATTTTCTACACAACATAAGGACCGTATAGCGGGAAATTTTGGAGGGAGTAAAATTTGGCGAATTGCTAAATTTTGGCTATTGGCAGATTTTAATTTGGCAAATTAGTGGCCATGTGCCATTGAGCATGCATATAAAGGCTCAAAATGGCGGATTTTATTTTGGCGAATGGCTATCAAAACGCCAAATTCGCCAAATTTAATTCCCTCCAAAATTTCCCGCTATACAATACATGTACATGTATATGCATCAGAAAATGTAATTAAAATAGAGAATTCTCTCCTAGTCATTTTTGGCAAAATTTGGCAAATGACCCTGTACTATAGTACAGTGACTTTGGCCCGATTTCGGAGCAACTTTAAAAATTCGTAAAAAATCTAATTTTGATCGGAATCAACTCAAACTTTCTACACAAAATAAGTACATGTATATGCATCAGAAAATAATAATAAAATTAAGAAATCTCTCCTTTTCATTTTTGGCAAAATTTGGCAAATGACCCTGTACTATAGTACAGGGACTTTGGCCCGATTTTGGAGCAACTTTAAAAATTTGTAAAAAATCTAATTTTGATCAGAATCAACTCAAACTTTCTACACAACATAAGTACATGTATATGCATCAAAAAATGTAATAAAAATTTAAAATTCTCTCCTTTTCATTTTTGGTGAAACTTGGGCAAAGTCCCTGTAGTACAGAGACTTTGACACAATTTTTGAACAACTTTAAAAATTCACAAAAAAATCCAATTTTAATCGGAATGAGCTCAAACTTAAAACACAACATAAGTACATGTATGTGTATCAGAAAAAATTATAAAAATGAAGAATTCTCTCCTTTTCAATTTTGGCAAAATTTAGCTAATGACCCTGTACTAGAACATAAAAAATTTTAAAAAACAAGATTGAGTAGG